TTTTTCACCGGAGGCCAAAGTGTCGGATCTTGGATTTTTCCGGGGGGAAAGTCGGTCCAAGGGTCACAAGGGTCAAAGTGTCAGATGTTGGATTTTTCGCCAAAATCGAATTTTTTAGCCGGGTGAACGTTGATTCCAACTATTTAAGCGACGGGCTATTCAGAACTATCAGCAAACTGATCAAAAGTCAAAATCGACTCAACCCGGTTTACCGCTTCGCTACTGAAATATTATTTAAAAATATTTTTAAGTGTTCTTCAGCCATTCTTTGTCGACCAATTTCTTCAGTATTAACAGTTAATATCAATTAAAATTCAGTAAAATCCATATTAAATTTCTTTAAAAATAGAATATCGTGAAATAACGAAATTGGAATTGAAACGAAATTCTGTGAAAAAAAAATTATGTGGGTTTTGCCAAATTTCAATGGAGATTAACCGTTAATGATGAAAAAATAGTCGAAAATTTTGAGACACAAATCCACACCTGGAATTCGTGAAGCCGCTCATGCACGGAGAGAAATTTTCTAGAAAAATTCTAGTATGAGTACTGGAAAAAATCACAATTCACCGGCTGTGAAAAGTTCTAGTGCTGTTAAGGTAAAATTTCTTGGTATTTCTGATAGAATTTTTGGGGATTTCTGTGAAATTTTCACAGAAATACGGAGAAAAATTCACGTTTTCCCAATAAAATTTCCAGTGCCGGCACTAGAATTTTTTCCTGGCTCTCACTTTGCGCCTCTTTTACTGTGCTAGCACTAGAATTTTTCTAAAAAATTTCTCTCCGTGTGTGTGAAGATTACTCCTGAATGTGAAAGTGTTATTAAAATACTTTCAGGCTTTATTCCCAGCTTTGATGGGTCATGTTCCTGCAGGCGCATCCACTCGCCAATTCGTTCACTACGCACAACTGATCAAATCCAATGAATTTCGGCAATATGATCATGGGGTCTTCGGTAATAACCGGAAGTATGGGCGGATAACCCCTCCACCATACAATCTTTCAAAAATTACGGTTCCAGTTATCATTCATTATTCCCGCAATGATTGGCTTTCGAGCGTTAAGGTAAGAAATAGATCGTCAGGAAATAGGTTTGCAGTACATACATGTGCAATGTTAATTCTAGGACGTCAGTCGACTCGCGAAGCGATTACCCAATGTCTACGCAAAGTTGGAAGTTCCTAATCCGAAGTTTGGCCATGTGGATTACGTATGGGGCGTCGATGCTTCCCGTTTAATTTACTCTCAATCAATAGCTTTAATGAAGCATTTCATGAATTGAGATTAAGCGATGTCATACACAGCAAAAACTAATGTCTGAATTTCACACACCATTTGTAGACATTTTTCAAACACTAAAAAACGTCTGAATGAAGTAAAAATGTGTCCGAATTTCAGACGAACAAGTGCCCAAACATCTTAATTCATGTCTGCAATTCAGAAAATTTTTTATTTTATTCCATCGTTTTTCAGTGTCTGAAAAATGTCTACAAAAGTTGCACATGATATTGTTAATCTCTTAATCAATTTTTGTACAAGGAAAAATAAAGAAAATTAAAGATGAATGATTTCTTATCTGCTCTGTTTGTTATTCTTTGTTAAGAGAAGCTCAAATCACAATCTGTTGCTATATTTTGAACGACAAATTGTGAACGATATGACGCTGAGAGATTAACATTTCAGATAATCAATCACACATATTGGTGTTGCATTTTTTATCATGAGAATGCAACGAATCCACGTGATGAAAATATTTGGAATGCACTTGGAAAATTCAGTTGCTATGATAACTTGGTCCACTGCATTCCCAGTAATCTTCCGTATAGTTTCTCTCATTCACGATTGCACAATGATTAATCTGCTCGTATAGCGAGTACATCAAATAGTGATAATGAGATTGGGAGCATATTCAATAATAAAAAAAAAATGTGGCCAAGAATCGGAAATGTGTTTCGGTGTTATCACGAATGTGAATGAGGTCCACGCGATCTATGATTGGGTGTTCATCTAATCTAACCTTCAGAGTGCTTCAGATGGATATCGTAGTAATAAACTTTGCTGCAGATATATAAGGAAGAAGTGTAATACAGTGCTAGATCAGTATCGAAACATTTCATGTGACGATGGAACCAGCACTTCCTTTGACGAGAATCTGGCTAATTGCTTTGATATCATTTGGAAATTTGCACGGATTGGGTGCTACGGAGGCTTCCGTCAAGCGCCCTTCTACGGTTGCTCCTTTGTTAATGAATGATACCTCCAAGTATCATGAAGATGCATACCTGAATGCTGTAAGTATCTATTTAACATAATAAAATAATGCTTTTGTTTTTTTTTTCAATAAATCTTCAAGACAAAATTTTTAGATGCGCTCACGCAAAAAAAAATTTTCAGGACAGTGACACTGAATGCGCTTTAGAGCCAAAAAATCATGAAATTTCAGGTTTCACTGAACATTCAGTAAAATTCCTGAATTTTAAGCAGCAGAAAGACGAGAATTCCTTAATTTATTTGAATTTCCAATCTAATATGAATATTCAGTGTCAAATGACATCGATCTTTCCACGAAATTTTGAATTTTCAATGACGAAATTCTTTGAAATTTCAGGGGTATTTAAATTCGATAAAAATTTCCAAAAAGTGTACCGGAAATTTCAGAAGAAAGTTTTTGACAGTGTAGAAGGCATTAATAAATTATGATTGGTTATTATTTACTATACTATACTATATTTTTGTCGTTCCTCACAAAAAAATTCAACAAAAAAACTTCTACAGAAGCAGAATAAGTTGCGTAAAAACATCAAAATATATGAATTTACTCCATAAAATGTTTTCAATTCAGAAAGACGCGCAGGAAATCTGCGAAATTTATTAGCAGGATTTCAACGGGAGTCGAATAAAAATGTCACTTGCCGAATTTTTTTCCTAGCGAGAACTTATATCGAAATATGGATATAGAGGCGAAACTCATAGAGTCACGACTAACGATGGATACATCCTCGAAATGCACCGAATAACAGGTCCAAAATCAAATCCGAAGCCCGAGGGTAAACCGGTAATTTTCCTCATGCACGGGCTGTTGTGTAGCTCAGTTGATTGGCTCATCGCTGGACCTCAGAAAGCACTGGGTAAATATTACCCCGCCCAGAATTCCAGTGCACTTCCCCTTGATTTCCAAATTCTCTTCTTCTAGCTTTCATGCTAGCGAATGCGGGCTACGATGTGTGGCTAGGAAACTCTCGCGGGAATACTTTCTCCCGTGGTCACACAAAATATTCTTCCCTTGATAAACAATATTGGATGTTCAGTTGGCATGAATTCGGGACCGAGGATCTTCCCGCAATGATCGACTATATTATACAAAAAACGGGCAGGGAAAAAATATTCTACGCAGCTCACAGCCAAGGCACTACAGCGTACTTTGTCATGGCGTCCGAAAAGCCGGAGTACAATGATAAAATCATTGTAATGTTCGCTATGGCGCCAGTTGCCTATATTAAGCATATGAAGAGTCCGTTTTTTCAGGTTCTCGCTCGGATAGATAAACTTGTGTCTGTAAGTATCAGTATAGTCATTGTTAAACAACAACTTCACAGCAAAAACGAATGCCTGAATTTCACACACCTTTTGTAGACATTTTTCAGACATTAAAAAATGTATGAATAAAATGAAAATGTGTTTGAATTTCAGACGAAAGGAGCCCAAACACCTTAATTCAGATTTGAAATTCAGACAAATTTTCATTTTATTCAGATGTTTTTTAGTGTCAGAAAGATGTCTACAAAAGGTGTGTGAAATTCAGACATTCGTTTTTGCTGTATAGTTGTTGAAATTCACCAAATCATTTCAGTAGCGAAGCGGTAAAACGGTTTAAATCGATTTTAACTATTGGCCAGTTTTCAATGAATATCTCGAAATCTAAGGTAGATATCGAAATTTTTGTTATAACCTTTCTTATAGCCCTCAATTCGCTCTACAAAAAAGGTCCTTATGAAAATTTCGTTACCTCCCTCAGATTCGGAGATATTTCTCGAAAACTCAACTAAGGGTTAAGTTCACTTGAACCGTTTTACCCCTTCGCTACTGATTTTTTCCGTGTATTAGCGTAAAGCTGTACTTTTTTGTATGTACGCTCAATACATCCTATTTTTTGCAATAGTTCGATGAGTTCGTTTTTTGGGAAGGGGAGGGGGGGGGCGGTAGGGATAATGAGTTTGTTTTTCCGGCGGAGGTGCGTAAACTTTAACCCTTGAGTGGTCGCACAATGAGGAAATCTCGGTTAGTATATTGTGTTAGAAGTGCGTGAGGGAGCACTTTTCTGCCCGCGCACGTAACACATACTATTTTTCATCATTCGGGCCATAAGGGACGTGCAGTGTCTGTGAAACGCCACCTTATGGCCGGAATGACAAAAAATTAATACTTTTCCCACGAGTTGGGACGCTATTTTTGATCGCAATGCGTGGAAAAAGGGATTTTGCACTTCACACACGGCGTGAAAATTATAGTATTATTGTATTCTTATGTATCATTGTTTCCAGGGTGCAATGGCAGTTCTGGGTCGTTATGAATTTAAACCTACAGACGGCTTTATGAAGGAAGTCGGAACAATCGCCTGTCAGGAAGAGATTTGGACTCAAGAAATATGTCTGAATGTGATATTCCTTATCGCTGGATTTGGGAATGACCAAATGAACAGAGTGTGTATAGACTGTTGAAAATTTTGGTCTGAATTTTTCGTGCCAAATTCCGGAAATTTTTATCAAGTTCAAGTTCCACTGAAATTTCAGAAAATCTTGTCATTGAAAAATTACATATTTCATTGATTTTCTGTTCAAATGATCTAGAAATAAGTAAAATACTCGATTTTTCAGTTCAATTATTCTGTAAAAATTCAGAAAAATCAGGAAAATTCAAGGAAAAATTGAAAATTCAATCAAGTTGTGAAATTTCAATTTCACTTCCTCTGGAAACTCATGAATTGCCGTGAATTCTAATTGAAACTTGAAATTGCATAACCATTTTTTCCCTAAATCTGATTCAAAGTCACTCTCATGAGATTTTCTATAATATCTGCCACGAATCGAAGCACATTAATCTCCAGGAGGTAATGATAAAGATCAATTTGCTTTAGATTCGAAAAATATTAATAATTTTGAGCAGGAAATTTGTTTGAAAATTTCGAGGAAACAGTGGCCCTCTGTTACCTCTTAAATAACATAAAATCGTGATTAAAAATTGTTGTTTGCGTTGAATTATGAAACACATCGTGTATCAACTCTTCAGACATTACTGCCGGCAATTTTGGGTCATACGCCTGCAGGTGCCTCCAGTCGTCAATTCATCCACTACAGCCAACTTTTCAAGTCGAATGAATTCCGGCAGTATGACCATGGAGCGTTAAAAAACTACTGGATATACAAGCAGAGAACTCCTCCGGCTTATGATCTCTCAAAAGTTACAATCCCGGTGATCCTTTCTTATGGTCTCAATGATTGGCTTGCGCATCCTAAGGTAGAGAAAGAACTAATCTGAAGTAAAGACGAAGGTTTCTAATATCTAATAGTGATGCCGCGAGACGCGAGAGCAACGAGACGAGGACGAGACAAACGAGACGAGAGACATGACGAGATGAGACAAGAAGATTAATTCGAGACAATGACAGAAACGAGACGAGAACGAGACAAACGAGACGAGAGACATGACGAGATGAGCCGAGAAGAGTAATTCGAGACAATGACAGAAACAAGACGAGACGAGAAACGCCGGTCGAGAACGAGAGAAACGAGAGGTGAGACGAAAGTCGAGAGAGCCGCCCCCTTTCTGCCCCTCTGTGTATTTTTTTTTTCATGCAAATAAAGCGGGACGAGACGAGACGTGACAAGACGAGAGAATCTCTCAGTTCTCCACGAAACGAGAGAAGAAATTGATCTCGTATTTCGATAGGAGACGAGACGAGAGAATGGTTTCCTGACGCCGAAACGAGACGAGAAGATACAGTTTCTCGTCTCATCTCGTCTCGTCTCGTCTCTTCTTGCGGCATCACAGATATCTATTGATCGTTTTAGGATGTGCAGCATCTCGCAGAGAAATTACCGAACGTCTACATCAAGCTGAGAGTGCCTAATGTAAATTTTGGGCATATGGATCATCTGTGGGGCATCGATGCCTCTCGTGCAGTCTATCCACAACTGATAGCAATAATGAAACGTTTCAGGAGTTGAGAATATTAATTATAAATTCGCAGATTTTCAACGTAATTCATGTAACATTTTACAGAAAATGATAATTTTTTTGAATCTACTTTTCTTATGAATAAATGACTAAAACTACTCAACTTTCTGAATCCTTATTTTCTTCCATAACATAATTTGTTGCGATTTTGAAAATATGATTTTAGCATGAAAATTGATTATTTATAAACTATTCATGAAGAAAAGTGTAAATTTCCCTCCACAATTAGAATTTTTTTGAGATTGAAAAAATGTTTCCCAACGGTTCAAAATGGAGATTCAAATTAAGGTGTTTGGAGTTTAAACAATAAAATCATTGCAAAATATGCGGAAACATTCGTGTCTTCAAATGCATTTGGATTAAGTATTGGAACATGAACAATACCCTGAGGTTATTAGCCTTTTTGACTTGACCATCGTAATCGCAATCGGACAACGAAAGCCCCCCTGAAATACCAATGACTCATTGATATCGCAATGAATGTTTCTCTTGCCTTCCGCGGGAAAACCGGAATTGCAAATAAATTAAGCGATAACTGAGTGAATACATTGCTGGATAAAAACTATCAAATAGACACATCTGTTATTCACAGAAAGGCGTTGAAGGACATCTCAACGCGAAAATATTTTATCAGAGTGACTAGAAATTGAAGAGCAATCTCGATTGACTCACATCACGCACATCTCATCAGCGTGCACTTTGGTTCAACGAGTCATATTATCAAAGGGTCAGCGATAAGGTCAGAGGATGTGGACAAAGCGTTTCAGTTGTGAAACAGAGTTAATCGGGAAGGCTATGTCAATATTCTCATGCTGTCAGTGTAGAATCCACTTTATTCGCTGTAAGTTAGGCACCGGATGTTTTTGCGCTTCCGTGTTAGCATGAAAAAGCTGTTGATAACAGTTTTATGGACCAGTGTAGTACTTTCCACTGTTAGTATCGCAAGAAAAATTGATACCTTGAGTGATTACTTTGAAACATCAAGGAATAATTCGGTAAGCACCTGCTTTTCACAGTATTTTAAATGGGAGAAGTGTGTTATCGCATTTATTCTTGCACTGAGAAAAAAATTATTCAATACCGTATTTCTCCAGTCAAGTCATTAACCGGCAATTCTCATTAGGTTTCAATCATGGCAATTGTATTGCTTTAGGAGACGATTGTGGTAGTTATTACCTTAAGTGAATTCTCTCAATATGTATCCACATTCAAAAATTACTCGAAATTCTTCCCTCTACAAAATAAGAAATTTAGGAAAAATGAGTAATCATTGGCGGAATTCATCCAAAGTTATGTGCAACATAGTCATCCTCTAGAGCAACATGCTTGTCATAATTAAAACATAATCAAGCTTGCCTGGGAATGACTCGATTGGAGAAAAACGATTTTGAAAAAATTTTTTTTTCTCATTGTGAGAATTGCTAGATAAGACTAGTATTTTGACATATTTTGATGGGAATCAAAATCGTGCCACAATTGAGTGATGGCTCTTGCAGCTAGGTGAAACGTTTCAGGGGTTTTCAATAGTGATGGAATTAATTGATTAATAGAACGATTTACCTTGAGTAATTACTTCGAAACACCTGGAAATAGGTCGGTAAGCACCTGTTTCTGGCAGTATTTTAAATGAGACCGGTGTGTTATCACATTCATCTGTGGGAATTACAAGATAAGGATAGTATTATGAATCAAAACAATTGGCTTCTTGAGTACGTGCGATATGAATCAAAATCGCACCACCATTCAGTGAGATGACTCTCCAAGATAGGTGAAACGATCCAGGGGTTTCCAATAGTGATGGAATTCATTGATTACTAGAATGATGTATCATTATTGTGACGTAATCTACGTTCATGGGGGGTAATGCGAATCTCGAGGTACAGTCCGCAGGAAAATAGCGATGGTAGTGTTGCAAGAATTTGTTAAGTGCCAAAATCGATACCTTCGGAACTCCTGAAAATAGTTCGGTAAGCACCTGTTTCTCGCAATATTTTAGATGAGAGAAGTGTGTTGTCACATTCATCTGTGGGAATTACAAGATAAGAATTATGAATCAAACCGATTGGCTTCTCGAGGACGTGCGATATGAATCCAAATCGCACCACCATTCAGTGAGATGACTCTCCAAGATAGGTGAAACGATCCAGGGGTTTCCAATAGTGATGAAATTCATTGATTACTAGAATGGTTTATCATTATTGTGACGTAATCTACGTTCATGGGGGGTAATTCCAATTTCCAGGTACAGTCCTCAGAAAAATAGCGATGATAGCGAAAGACAATTCACAGATGTGATCGGTGATGTCACTCGCTGGTGTACTCTCAGTGAAATCAATGAAATCAGTGTAATTACATAACTATTGTAATTATTGGCCATCAGTGTCATCTTCTGTAGTCGCTTCCTTGTAAAGAAACATGTCAAGAAAAATGTTCTCTTTGAAAAGAGTAATGTTCAGCCGTGTTTATGGATTGTTGTGTTCAACAGTTTCAACTGGGAATCCTCCCTGAATATGAAGTACAACGTTATGTGTTTCCCGCGGTGTTACCAGAGTCAGAAGATGACGTTCAGAGTGGTGAAGAGGATGATGGAACGGTCCTCTACAGGATTGTCAGAGGACCAAGGTCTCCTTCTGCTGAAGGCAAGCGTCCCTCGCTGATACAGCATGGAATTTTGTGTGACTCATATTCCTGCACTGCTAACAAGCCGCAAATTGCTGTTGGTAAGTGTCTAATGAAAGCGACTCCAATGTAATGTGTAATGTATTAATTTGTGTTCAGCCTATTTGCTGGTTGATCAGGGTTACGACGTTTGGTTGGGGAGCAGCAACTACAGCATGATGGATAATTCTATATCGTACGGTAGAACTGCATAAAAGAGTAATACTGAATGCTGCTTCACGCAAAAAAAAATATAACTGAATTGAGTATAAAATGTACTTGAATCAAGTATATTTTATACTCAATTGAAATATACTTGAATCAAGTATATTTTATACTCAATTGGGGGATGGATATTTCAATTCGAAGATGATTCTTTTGTATCAGGCCGGGTTGTAGCAAGCCCTATAAGTGTAATATAAGGGTCAGGCACTAAGTGTCAGAATATAAGGGTCAAAAAGTGGAGGTTGAAAAATGAGGGTCAGAATATTAGGGTCAGAATATAGAAGTAAAAAAAGTGGGTGTCAAGCAATGAGGGTCTAAATATAAGTCATATATGCTTGATCACCGTTTGTAGCCCTTAGATGATCCTCATTGCCTGACACCCACTTGTTCTACTTTTATATTCTGACCCTAATTTTTTGATCCTAACATTCTGACCCTCATTCCTTTACCTTTACATTCAGGCCCTCAGTTTTTGACTCTAATACTCCGACCCTCATTTTTTAACCTCCACTTTTTGACCCTTACATTCTGACATTTAGTGCCTGGCCCTTATATTACAGTTGAGAGCGCTTGGTACAACCCGGACTGATATACGAAATAATCATCCTCGAATTGAAACACCCATCCTCCATTTGAGTCTAAAATATACTTGAATCAAGTATATTTTTTCCGTGTTGCAATGTAACTGCTGAGCATTCTTCATTTGCTTCCTGTGAATACTCCATCATTTCAGGAATGAGATGATGGAGAAGGAAAAATTGGAAACCATCGGCCAGTGTATCCTGATGGCAACACAACAACCAGAGTTACTGGTAATGGGTTATATCAATGGTTCCATTCAGTTTTTCGCAATCACTGCGCGTTACAATCATGAGCAATCGAAACTTTCGAAATTGGTGGAGAAAATACCTGGAGTCAAGACGGCGAAGAGATGGTACAATAAACTGTATAACAGGGGCTGGGGTATTTTGTCACGTAAGAGTGATTGACTCATCAACATGAGAAGAAAGATTAGCTGGATTTAAACTTAATTGAAACCATTACTGATTGCAGGGGGTTATGATCGAGTCCAGCAGGGTGTCGAGAGGCTTGGAAAAAAATTGGACTATATATCAGACAATCCATTAGTGAGGAACCTTAAGGTGAATAGATTATTACGAATACAGAGAAAAAAAGTTTTGATTGTTATGGACATGTGGCTGAATTCCAGTGAACCGTCACTGATTTTCAGAAATTTACCTCTATTTCCCATGACATCACTAATTTTCAGAGTAATGTCTCCGATTTTTCGTGACACTAATTTACCCATCTCTAATTTTTAGAATTTTATCACCAGATTTCAAGAATTTCTTGGAACTTAGACATCTTTTTTTTCCTTCAGCAAAAGATTCGTCATTACGGATATGCACTGGGAGAAGACATAAACTTTAAGATCAACTCCATTCTGATCGCAATATTTTCCTCAATTTGATGCCGAAGAGGCTTAAAATATCGAGGCAAATTGGACCATTCTTGTCACAAGGATGGATAATGTTCCTAGTAACTGATGATCAAGATTGCAAAAATTTTGTTAATGAAGTAATTTTTTCCAGTCTCAATTATTGATTAAAACAGACTCTAATGAGTTATTCGCTAAACTATCTATTCTCGTCACAAGAATGGCCCGATTTGCATCAATCATTGAAAAGAATTTTTCAACTCCTAAGGAATCTTTTTTTATCTCCGTGTGAATACGGTGAAAATTATTAATCGTATAATTAACCAAATGAGTGTTTTTGTTGCTTCCAGAATACTGTATTTAATGCTTGGGGAATCGTCGCTACGGTGCGGCCAACCCTGAAAATCCAGGACTTTTCAAAAATGGTTAATCATCCAGATGTATATCTCGATACTGTGAGTATTCGAACGAATACTATAACCCCAGTAGAAATCAAATATCCGAGCGCCGTCGCCCGGACTTTCCAGGGGCGACTCATCTCGTATAGCATACGAGACCAAATGTCCAGGCGCGCGCCCGTCGAATGTCGCCCTGCCGGTCAGAATTTTTACTAGGGAAGACTCCATGAATATTCATGTGGATAATTTCACACCTAATATACAATTCCAGCCGCAATTGATATCGAAGTATGGATACACTGCCGAAACTCACGACATAAAAACCGCGGATGGTTATTTGCTATCACTACATCGAATATCAGGCGGAAAAAAGTATCCATCAAGTCCGGGAAAGCCTGTGGTTTTCCTGCAACATGGAATATTGGCTAGTTCTGCTGTTTGGGTACTTGCAGGTCCAGCCAAGGGACTAGGTAGATCCTCATTACAACACGTACGAAATTTCGTTGAAAAACTTTGCGAATTCACTAAAAAATTCTATTGGATTTGTATTGAACATTCTACTAGTTCATCTCTAATAGAAATGTTCAATGGAAAATATTTTATAGAAAAAATCAATAAAATTCGGTTTTCTTATGCAACTTTATTGTATTGAGATATTTGAGATATTTTAAATAAAGAATTCGTCGTTCCAAATTTTTTAAAGCTTTTTTGTTTGATTTTTTAATGACAAAAGAAGAAAAATAGAGCGGAAAAAATTTAGAAAATTCCTATTGAGGAATTCCTATAGATAATGTCTCTAGTGATGTTTTTTTTAGTGAAAGCTCCAGTGATTTTCCTATGAATAAGTTTCTATTGGATATTTGAAATAAAAAAAAATCACACAGGGAAAACTAATGGAATTTTGAATAGAAATTCAATCGAATTTTTCGTCGAATTCCCTAACTTTTTCTACGAAATTTTCTCGTGCGTGAATTCGAGAGTATCTGATTCCAGATATATTTATGAATCTTTGTAGCCTACATCCTTGCCGACAAGGGATACGACGTATGGATGGGAAATTCCCGTGGTAATACATATTCTCGTGGACACGAACAGCTCTTGACAACATCTTGCAAATACTGGGACTTTTCCTTCCATGAAATGGGAATCTATGATCTGCCGGCCACTATAGATTACATTCTAGCTGAGACGAAACAGCCGAAGATGTACTACTTGGGTCATTCACAAGGGACAACATCATTTTTCGTGATGATGTCAGAAAAGCCAGAGTACAATGATAAAATATTCAAGTTCGCAGCATACGCTCCCATGGTTTACAGTGCGCACGTGAGAAGTCCTTTCATTAAATTTACTGCCCGACTTTCAACGCCTATTTATGTAAGTTGAGTCTCATCATCTGAGACGAAAAAAGTCAATGAACATTAATGATTGATGATCAAGGGATGATCTTCTTTTGGTTGCCTTTAGCGGACTCTGGGATTCTTCCACATTCACGATTTTGCACCGACGAATGCATTACTGACTAAAATTGGAAGACAGTCCTGCGAGGCGCGATCTTTGTACCAAGTCATTTGTAGTAATAGTTTATTCATGATTACTGGATATGACACTGCACAAATTAATCAGGTATATGAAATGAAACATCTTTAACTGTTCATGACTCTAGGATGAGAGGGTGGATTGACCCGACTTTTTATTTGCATTTCCAAGGTATTTCTTTTTAAAAATAAAAAAATTGAATTGTTTAGCTACTCGAAATTCAATTCAAAGGCGATTGGTAAGGTATTAATATCAAGGCACTGTGTTATTTTGATACTTCTAAATTAATTGCTGTCAATAATACTGGACTGCCAATTGAGCATAAACTCAGCAAAAATTTAGTTATTCATGGAAAAAATATACCTGAATTAAATATAAAATATCCCTGATTCAAGTATATTTTATACTCAATTGGGAGATGAGTATTTCAATTCGAAGATGAGCCCTTTGTATCAGGCCAGGTTGTAGCAAGCCCTCTTAAGTGTAATATAAGAGTCAGGCACTAAGTGTCACAATATAAGGGCCAAAAAGTGGAGGTTAAACGATCTGAATACGATTGCGTGAAACACACAGGTGTATAAAAATACAACTGCGTGAAACACACAGGCGTATAAAAATGCAACTGCGTGAAACACACAGCAGTATGAAAATTCGGCTCCGTGAAACAAACAAACTTCACGCATGCGTGGAGTGTATGGAGTGTACGGGAGTGACTCACGCAATGGTGCGAATAGTCACGGCCTTTCTTTTTCCGTGTTCACAATGCCGTTTGGAATTTATATAAGATTTCAAGCTTTAAAATTTCAGTTATTTTCAAACTACTTTACGCTTTCAAATGAGATTCAACTTGTCCAAATCGTATTGTTTGCTCAAAAGACATTGACGATGAGGCATTGTCCGTTTTACCCCACTCACCTCTACATCTCCGTGTATTGACCATAAATTCTCTATAAAAATTTTTCCATTTATGTAACAAAAAATATCATGTTTTCCTTTAATTTATCCAGACACTGGTTCCAATAATCCTGGGTCATTTTCCAGCCGGAAGTTCAGTGAAGCAATTTCTACATTTTGGTCAAGAAGTTAACTCCCGTAAGTTGCTAATAATCATTTAAAGTGATTCATTCTGTAACGTATTGACATGCATTCCGCTTTCAGAAAAATTCCGGAAATTCGATTATAACAATCCCGAAATAAATCAGCAAAAGTACGGACAGTTGGAGCCCCCCGAGTACAAGGTCAATAATACGAGAATTCCAACAGCTCTTTTCTACGCGAATAATGATTTACTCTCTGATAAAAGAGACGTTGAGAAACTGGCAGACGATTTACCGAGTGTGGAAATGGCGTACAGAGTGCCGATGGAGTCTTTCAATCATATTGATTTCATGTTCGCTATTGATGCACCTGCTCTACTGTATGAACCGACTATTCAGTTTTTTAATGCAACATGGACACCTCCAGTTATTTGATGAAGGATTATTTGAATACTGAAATTAGCAAGATAATCTACTTCGCGTTGATCTGAAACCAAATAGTTCTGTATTTATTTATACTAATGAAGAAGTCAAGAATTTATTATTCAATGGCATAACGTTAACTGAAAATTTTGTGATTGTTTTTGGTAATGATATGAATAAAGTGATGAATTCGAATGATAAGTTTTATTGAAGTTGGAGAGTCATGCACCGGTTAATAACCAAAAATATGTCGGTTTTCAGATAAAAACAAGTTCTAATTTTTACGAGCATGTCACTGACTTTTTCTGCACTGAGAGAAAAACGAACAAGTTCTCAAACAAGTCCTGTTTGAGAAAAATAAACAAAATCGTTAGTTGAAAATTACAAAAAAATTGTTTCATTTGAATTTGAAAGTTTCAAACAGAAATAATTGCTCTGCTTTCAACAACGAAATTTTTGGCTCAAGAGGCAGATCATTCATACAAGACGGTGCCTTTTCAGGATACAAATATCTTTTATAGAGGGAAGTTTCGCAATTTAGGCTTTTAAAAAGCGCATTTCACGGACGAAATAAAAAGATAAATTACGCCTAAACAATGCGTATCTTACGTTCATTAAAACATAATTTACGTTTATCAAAACGTAAATTACGTTTATAACAAATAATACGAAAAAAATCATCGTAATTTACGGCAACTTTGAGTGTAAAATACGCTTCAGAAAGCGTAAAAGACGACTTCTTAAACGTGATTTGCGTTTAGTTTTTTCTGTGTGTTGCTATGTATTTCAATGAGATTGCTTCGTTCTTGTAAACACCCTAGTTTTTTATTTAATTATACTTGGAGGTGCAAAAACGCGATCGATCACATTTACGATAGCATTATAAGAGCATGATATATCCCGCAATCATTGTGCATACATAAATGTATATAACAACGATCAAAAATTCATGATAACATCCTAACGCATGCATCCTGATAGTGAATACTTATTGAACGACAATATTATCGTCAGATTAGTAACAGTACGATATAATGTTGAACGTCTTTATTTCGATGACATGAAGCAATAGTCCGAGCCGTCGTAATAGATAAAAGATCGTCGTTCGTTGGAGGGGAGAGGGAATCTTGTCTGCTTGCGTGTTTTGCTGAATAAAAGCGGCCAGTTCATTTCCAACAGATGATTGACTCGAGGTGTTCATCCTTCAGAAACTATTATAAGTCCAACGTCGCTTGAATGGATTGGAACTACCCGTAACCAACAGTGATTATAGTTATTGGAAACTATCAACATGCATTCCATTTGGAGGTGGATATTGGCGTTCTGTTTAAGTGTGTTGATAAATAAATGCAGTACAGCGCGAATTCTCGCAGTGTTTCCATTGGCATCAGCGAGCCACAGTGCTGTACTCCACACTATAACCGTGGAGTTAGCGAAGAGGGGCCATGAACTCGTGGTTTTCGATGCGTATTCAGCCGGAAAGGAGATTGAACAGTTGAGGAATTATCGGGAGTATCAGTTGAAGGAGAACGTTATGTCTTCTGAACAGTTGCGCCAGCTTTTGAAAGGACAGGCGAATGTCCTGCGGTTGCTAATGGATTTGCCGGAAATTTCAGAAGTAAGAAAATAGAAAATGTTGTATAAAAAGATAAAATTCAACTGATTTCTTCTGTAAAAGAATTTGTATTGGGGAGTGCCTATTAAAGAATGTGCAGTAAAGCTGCGGAATTTTTCAATAACACGCACCAAAAATTAACGGAATTTTCCCTTGAAGTTCAATATAAATTCAATAGTGTACTATTGAATTCGCGAGGTTTTTCTATGAAATTCTTTTGTGTGGCTTTTGTGTGACATTGCATTTTCAGATCCATGTGGCATGGCCATGGCATTTATTATATTTTGCAAAATATAAGCTGTAAGTTTTGATTGGCTTGGATAGAGGTCATCGAGCCGAGTATTTTGAAAAAAAAATTGAAATCGGTACAGTAGTTTTCGAGATATTGATGAAAAACGAAATTTAAACAAATTGATATATCTCAGGAACTGCTGGGCCGATTAGGCTGAATCAGCGCGCCAAAATAGAGTTCATTCATAGCTATCAGGAGCCAAAATTTCAGATTTCTATCTACCGATTTCACCGTATTTGTTGAATTTTCGAAAAATTGTTCACCTAAAATCCAAGTTGTCACACACATACATACAGACATGACGTGAAAACACCATTTGTCCACGTTTCATGACATTCTACATCATTTCCGATCGAAATTAGCGAATCGAAAAATTCGTCAAATACTAGGCTTCCATTCGGAAACAAAATGGATTAAATCGGCCCGATTTATAAAAAAAAATCATATACAATATATGTTTTATATCTATTTTTTATATATTCTTTATAATTTTGAAAAATCTATGGAATTAGCCCATATTATATATATTTTAATGGGAGAAGATTGTGGAAATTCAGGAAACTATTGCTCTTAATTTTCAATCTATCCAAAATTTAATTGAGTATGATGATTGATTTTCACAATGGACCTAAGAATGCCAACTGACATTGACATTGCTCAATATAAAAAACTCAATTTTGTTGAATTTCCGAGATGAATAAAAACTTTCAATTCTCAAAATTAAAAACACAAATGCAGATATGACGAAAGTTTCGAATAATTCTAATAAGTTTCGAACATTGAAAATCAGTTCTTATTTTTCGCAAGATAACTTTCATACTCCTCCAGAATTTGTCACGAATATTCAACGAAAATCGGGTACATCTTATTTCAAATTCAATAAAAAAATTCGTGAATTTCATCTGAAAATTTGTAACAGCGTAAGATTTCTCCGTATCGCTCTTTGCAGCTGGCCAAATTTGCATAATGTATAGCCATATTGTGTTTCCTTGTATCTTTAGACTTTGATGAATCGAACATTCTCAAACGAGGACATGGCGAGACTGATTTCACCGAGTCATAAAGGAACCTTTGATCTCATCATGATTGAATGGATATCTTGGGATTCCTTGAACGCTCTCGGTTATCGTTTCAATGCTCCAGTAATTGGCCTCATCACGGTACCCATAACGATGCTTGATTTCACCATGGGCCTCTCCTTCCCCTCAATCGATATTCCACTTTACATGACCGGTGAGACCGGTGAGAAGACCTTCATTGACAGATTAAAGGGTTTTGTCACAGATCTCGCTATAACGTCGTTTCGACACTACACGTTGTATCGACAGCAGAGAATTGTGGAAAAATTCTTCGGTCAGGATTACCCGCACGTGTACGATATGATGAGAAATGTCAGTATGATTTTCACTGATCAGGATCATGTGATGCCACATCCGGCAATTAGTGCTCCCAATATCATCAATATCGGCGGAATCCACGTTTCCAGGGGAACGGATCAGCAGTTGCCGTCCGACGTGAAAGACTTCCTGGATACTGCAGAGAAAGGTTTCGTTTATTTTAGTCTCGGATCGACACTACCGGGACACTATATGCCAGACGAGATTCGACGGATTTTCACTGAAGTATTCGCCGCAATTCCTTATCGCGTAATTTGGAAGTGGGAGGACGATCATCTTCCGGAGAAACCGGATAACGTTTTAATATCTAAGTGGCTGCCCCAGAGAGCTATCCTAGGTGAGCTGATAATTTGATTGAAAAGTTTGATTATTGTTCATGATACGGAAATTAATGGAGGAAACAGGGTTTGAATTCTCTCTAGCCAAAAGTTTGCTAACTCCAGAAATTCGTAGGTTTACTCAAAAATCAAAATTGTTCTCATGACTAAATACGTTATCTCAATCAACACGGTCATAGGTTGTTCCAAGTAAATTATAATTGAAGAGAGCATTTCTTATGTCGAATTGGGATGAATATTGTTACGCGGAAAAATCTTTGAGATTGCAGTAAGATGTCGTTGAGTTGAAAGAAGTTTATATTTCTGGACTAAAAAAATCGCATTAGTTTACAATAACAGAATCACAGATTACGGCAATTCAACACAAACTTGGATATCACAAATTTCGTTCAGTGTGATATGCGGAAAGCTCAATTTAAACATCGGCTTCATTTGACAAAACAACATTCAATTCATTCCTCAATGTCATCTCCCAGGTACGAATTTTTTATCAGTTCATAAAAGGAGAAAATTTCGCGACTGGAGATTACATGAGGTTGAAAAAAAACTTTTACATTTTTTTTGTGGTGAATGCATGTGACTTGCCACCAAGGACGGTTTTATTTGATTCAAGTAAATGAATCTCAAGAAGAAATAATTGATATTCACCGTAAGATCGTATTTATTTGAAATTGGCTCAAGTATATAATTCTTGTTCCAAGAATGAAACATCTTAATAAAATTTCAGGCGGCTTTATCTTCGATACAGCTGTAATTTGTACGTGGATACGTCCACGATCTTTCCTTCTTTCTGGAACTTCGTAGAAACTCCTTGCATTCCCTCGAATTTTCCGAAAACTCCTTGAATTCTCTCCAATTTTCTAGAAACTCCTTGAATTTTTTCGAAATTCCAAGAAACTTCTCGAATTACCTTGAAATGTCTAGAATTTTCTAGAATTCCGATAGATTGCGCTATTCATAAGGACCGTTGCTCAAAATGACCCCCCATATTGAAACCGTAGACGTATTCCACGTCAAAAAAATAATGTTTTCTATCCGTGTATGTAACTAAACATCGGTTGGGTCGCGAGTCCGAGTAAACTAATATATTTAGCGAAACGTTGCATCCTTGATTTCCTGGATTGATTACACTGAGAAAAATAATTTCTGATATCTGAAACATATTTTCTTGAGAGAAGTAAATGATTTTCAATGGCTTAAATCTCAGAATGTGTGCACTTCACGGAACTCGAATAAATTTTCATTTATCACTATCGTTCCGCGTTACGTCGTGAATATTTTACATGTTGCAATATTGGAAGTGCATAACGAAAAAATCATGAAAACAATAAAGACTAGAAGATTAACGATTCTTCTATGCGATGTAAGTTCATTTGCGACAAAATCATACTTGAGTACAAGAATATTTTAAAGCATGAGGCCTTGCTCGGGTCATGTGAGTTCAGATGCCTGAGAGAATTAAGCAATTGAAGAAAATTTACTTGTCTCAAGAAAATATGTTTCAGATATTAGAAAATATTTTTCTCAGTGTACCACCGTTTGGAGGCGAACACAATTATCGATTAACCCTGAAATTTCATCTTGCAGCGCATCCTGCCATCAAAGCCTTCATCTACCAGGGAGGTCTTCAGAGCACAGAGGAAGCTATCGCTGCTGCTGTGCCATTAGTTGCTCTTCCAATATTCGGGGATCAACAGCAGAATGTCAACAAAATGGTCCACATTGGTGGTGCGATCAAGCTTAACATCCACAGTCTCACTACGAGTGATCTGAAGCAGGCCATCACAGAGGTGGCAGAGAATAAAAATTACAAGAAACAAATCATTAAGTTTAGAGATCTGCTGAACGATAGACCCTATGATCCTGTGAATCACACGATGTGGTGGATTGAATACGTCATCAGGCATAAGGGGGCGCATCATTTAAGATTAGTGAGGTCTAGTCTTCTCTGGTATCAGGCACAGAATCTTGATGTTATCGCATTCTGTGCTGTTATTCTATTCATCCTGATGTTTATTATTTATAAGAGTGTTAAATTAACTGTTTGTTATTGTTGCTATAGGCAAAACCAAAGTGTTCAGAAAGTCAAACAGTCGTAGGTGAAACGACTGATAGAAATGTGATGAAGAAAATTGATTTTAGATTTAAAACATGATGCACCTCGCATATGTGGGGTTCAAATACATCAAGTAGATTATAAATCCGTCGTTAAAGTCATTGTTAATTGTTCCCTCTTTTACACTCCTGCCAATCCCTGAATACTGAAAATTCTCTTCCATCAAATTATTCATTCATCCTTTTTCACCTTATTTTCTGTATCGATGGATGAATCAACTATTCAGTTTATCGTCGCAGCATTCATACCTCCAGTTACTTAATGTATATTCATTTAAGAACGGAAATCATCGAGAAAAGCTATTTCCCGCTGATCCGAAGACAAACCAGTTTCGTATTTATGTATATTAATGAAGAAGTCAAGAATTGATTACTCAGTGGCGTAACGTCACCTGAACATTTTGTCATCGTTTTGTTATGATGTAAATAAAATGATGAATTTGAATGATAAGTTCTCCTGACTTGGAAATATTTTTGAGACATATGTTATCAATCAAAAGCACGTCGGTTGTCACAACTGCTGCAACAGATGTACACCTTATGTACATGTTGTCGATCTCCACTGAGCCAGAAAAATCGTGAACAAATATTTTGGTATCAATTACCCTCCTCTTGAGCAAATGATAGCTAATGTCAGTGCGGTCTGCAGTTCCCAACGAAATACATTCGCAATTCAGAATGCCCAATGATGTTTACAGGAATGGCCTTCATGTGCGAAAGAAATATAGCCCGAAATAACCAGAAGCACTCGCGGATTCGTGGAGAATTCAGAAGGTAAACCGATTATTCACTTCAACTTCGGTATGTACATGTAATAGAAACGATACTTTCAGCGCAACAATAAATATCGTCCGGGAAGTGCGATAATAAATATCTTTCGGGAAGAATATATGATTGCAGCTCGAGCCGAAGGCGAGCACAAAAATTTTCTCGCGAATATGAGCCAGAAAATTTTTTTACGCCACTCATGCCTGAAACCGGCTAGATTACACACTCAACGCTTCGCGTCGAGTGTCTAATTCAGCCGGTTTCAGGCTTCGTGACATAAAATTTTGTTCAGTACTTGTTGGGAAATTTCGTCCTTAACGTGTGTGGTTACATCACTCGCCTTCGGCTCATGCTGTAAACCCCACACACGTTAAAGACGATATTGCCCCACATGTACTGAAGTATACTATTTTGACACTGCTGCTACACACGTTCACCTCGTGCCGAAAAGTGCCTTTTCGTTTACTCGTAAAAGAAAAAGGCACAGTTTGGTCGCTCGCTGAACGTAACATCATCACTATCAAAAAATATTGTTCGACATATGTGAGACGGGAATTTTTAACTCGTACACTGATAGAACGGATTAGTTGTTGTTAACGAATGGATTTTGGTTGGAGGTTACGGTCTATTCGGTCTCATCAAATGTTCATTCGTTAATAGTTAACGAATGTATATTTGAGGAGCCTTGTTTGACTTGACTTTCGCCATTCAAGTGAACCATTCGTTAACTATTAACGAATATTCATTTGGTCATATTCAACTCTACCATTCGTTAATAGTTAACGAATCTCGTTTGGAATAAATGAATCATTCTATCAGTGTATGATTGGCAGCCCTCGGCTTCGCCTGGGACCGCAACTTCACACTCGTGAAAATTCTGTATCACACGTATCGAAATATACTATTTCGGTCTTGAGATGAAAAGAGCTATTTCGGCCTTATGACGAAATCCACTATTTTGTGAAGGCTAAGATAGACCATTCATAAAGTCAAAAATTATATCTGCGAATGCAAAAATTACGGTACCCTGTACAGTAAGTCGTTCCGCACATGTAAATTATTTTTTCTGTACTGCTTCTCACGATTCCTCGTCTGAGAATTGGTATTGCATACTTCCCAAACTCGAAAACTTGAAAATCACTACGAAAAATCTTGTCCCAGGCTGTTGCGATGGGATTTTTTTACTCATGTGGTTGGCATGGGAACCGACGAGAGTGAAAATTTACTGTTCAGTGTTTAGTAGAGAAAATCGTTCTCCATTACAGAAAAATTCCTAGACATTGAGTAGTCATTTGCATTCATTAGCGGAATTTTTCAAGAAATTTATGAAATTTTTCGGAGCAAGCGGAGAAAAATTGATTTGTTTGGTAATTTTTGGCCAATTTTTTTCCCAGAGAAAAAAGTTTTCATTTTCAAGGATATGTCACTGATGTTCAGGAATTTATCATCAGTTACTTGTGATACTGGACACTGACTAGAATGATCATGATTATCATTAAAATTTTAATCATTAAAATTTGGTGATAGATTCCTAGTTCAAGGGGTAACAGAATGCTACACTCTCCTCAAATTTTTCAACCAAATTCCCTGCGCAAAGTTATTAATAATTTTCGAACCCGAGACACATTGATCTTCATCATCGCCTTCGGGAAATCAATGTGCTTCGATTTTTCAAAATATCGATAACTTTCGGCAGGAAATTTGTTCGAAAATTTGAAAAATTAGCTGTATTCAACGCACGAAAAAATCCAAATACATCGAATATATTTGATTCATCTAAACCGTTCTTTTACTCTTATACTGTTACAGTTCCTCTTTAATGGTTCTGTCTCCTGAAATTTTCTGTCATGGGCTTCCCATGGAGGGTGTGCACCCCTTCACTAGGTTTTTGTCCCAACAGGAGACAATCACTCACTCATTCTTGTCCCCAAAAATATTGCAACCCCCACAGTTGCAATACAGCCTCCCAAAATTTTGTAGCATGAATATGAACAGTCCCGTACTATCCTAGATAACCACACATTCATATACTTTTTTCTCCTCCCCTAATGGCCACAAATATCTTTGATAATCGCTGAATAAAAAAGAAGCTGAGATGAGGATGGAAGTGACCCCGACTGGATTTTTTTCCTGGTACAACCTTATACCTCGATACGCCTGCGCCCCAGGACTCCAATCTGGTGGTGAATACGTGGGAGTCACCCAACCTCAGTCTCACGCGAAATTTCGTGTTGAACCGATTGCAATATCTCGATATTATTGTGACAGGATCCTTCTGGACCAGTCTATCCTTGTCCGAGTGAAATAGTCCGGCTCGATTTATTATTTCAGTAATTTCCAACAGTTACTAGCAGTAGCAACATTTTTGTTATCCATCAATATTCAACAATCCATGTGTTAAATATAGTTTAATTTAATATTCTTCAATCAAAAGTGAGAGAAATTGGCACTGACAATGAATTAATCTCATTTCAATCATTTAGTTTCTTGAGAACGGCCAATTTCAATTTTTTTTCTCTCTTCAACGTGATTAGTGGTGATTAATAACAGAAAACAACAAAGTTATAAATTTTTCGAAGAGCAACTAATTTTCGAATTGCGGAATAGTGCTATCCTGTAAATACTAACTCAGAGTGAGATGAACGAAATAACAAAGTGTCGATAGAAGGTATTTCACCATCCATATCTAGCTTGCTTTGAGTACCGGGAGTTCATCGATTCACAGGACCCGTTGACCGAATTCCCGTTCTACCCCGAGCGCTGCTATCAAATGCGCAGTCATGAAATCGGATGAATTTAAATGGACAGAATCAATCAGATCATTCAAATCTCGTTAACTTCATTCATATTAGGTTTCCCAGCTTGTCTCACCGAGATGAGAGAAAATCCCGGGGTTTTTGAGTGAGAAGACAGTGAAAAGGAAGGACAAATCGAGCCGCAATGTCGGTCGGGTTTCGACCTGGGGATATGTGAACTGTGCTGGGAAACGCCTGGAAGATTGAGCAAATAATAGATTGGGCAAGATGAAAGAATTTTTTCTCGTCATTCTCTCCATCACATTAGGTAAATACTAATCCTGTTTTTAATCCTTGAGAACTATTTAGACATAATTCCATTATTCGTGTTGGTAATTCGTATACTCTAAAGAATAGTACAGGAAGAAAAATTATCTAGAAAAATTAATGTGCTCAGCACTATAAACAAGTCACTTGAAAAAATTATTGTATAGCGCCAGAAAAGTTATGGTTCTTCCACTAATTTTTCTGGTGCTGAGCGATATTTTTTATGATGTTATACAATAATTTTTCCAAGTATGCAAATTGTGACCCGTTTATGGTGCCAGCACATGAATTTTTCTCGAAAATTTTGTGCTTCATCGATGTCTTCACTCCTTAAAAAGGTCAGTAATTCTCCTATGAAAAGAAGTTTCGTCCAGCATATCCATCCCACAAATAAAGAAAACAAAGAAACCAAAGGGGTTTTGATCACCCAATGCTGGAACCCCTGAAGACTAGTGCAAAAACAATGAACAAATGACCCTCCTATATTTCTTATGGATCCTATTTTTCCTTTCTCTCTCCCCTTCAACATCATCATCATTCTTTGTCATCCTCATTTCGGCCAAGAGGGTGTGTGCTGTCATGAGTATATCGATCGTCTTCATGGCGCAGGCGTTGCCGTGGTGAATGAAAATCTCCTTGCGCCCCCGCACTATCTCAAGTCATTCATGGACCGGTGACCGTGTGGTCCATCAAAACCCTACAGATATATCACCTTTTTACCTAAATGTATTTTCTAGCTCAATCCATGAACTCGAGTTACAGAGACCCTGGCCAAATTGATTATTCATCCGAGGTACTACTTTATTCATTCAACTATTGACTCTAGATGTGAAGGGGATGGAGACGTCAATGGGCATCAATTTATCCGAATGCAGTGTAATATTGATACTGGGAAAGGTGGAGGAAAATTATTCAACAAAGTTTATGCCATTCATATTCACAGTTGCATATCGTCTAGCGAGGGGAGAAGTTTGGAAAACAATTTATGAAGTTCTGGGGGGATTTCATCGTCGGCATGACGAATTAACTGCGATAGTTAATTTGTGAGGCGTTCGAATGACTAGTTTCTATTCGTCACTCATTCGTCGATTACAACTTGCGAAAATTTATGCTCAGGAATTTGTTTTGGAGAAATCGCAAGAGAATTCAATTTTCAAGAAAATTTCAATGGAATCAAGTTCAATTTCAATAAAGTATCAATTTTTTTTTATCGTTATTTTACATTGCTTCGACCCGGTTAGGGTATACTGCGATGATGATCAAGACTTTAAATGGTTAGATCGCACCATTCTACCCGGCCGGGATTTGAATTCGGAACCTTTCGCATGTGAGGCAACGAACTTACCCACTGCGCCAAGCCACCGGGCATAAAGTATCAATGAAAATACAATTGACTTTCCTAGCAAAGCGTTTGTCAATTCAATTTCTTCATGCCGTGAGTTTTTTGAGAAGTACATCTTTACTTGTATCAAGACACACTAAGAAAAAAAAATAGAATTGAGGCTAAAAAACTATTAAATGAATTAATTCAATTTTACTTCGTATGAGGAATCGCTTTCTTTTCGTCAAGAAATAATGCTCGTCTTTAGGCCAAGTACAGAATGTTTTGAGGAATTTTTTTTTCTCAGTGCAAAATATTTTGCTCTTGAAAATTTTCAAAGTACACTGAGAAGACAAGTGTTTTTTAAGAAATACGCCTGTACTTGTATCAAGAAATTCATGGCTCGATAACTACCAAGCGCACAATATCTCAGACTAAGAAAAAAAAATCTTACGTTAAGAAATTTTATACTTGTCCGAAAGATAAGGACAATTAGTTCATATCAAGACAAAAACGAGGTCTCAAATCAATTCAAGTGGTTTTTACATTAAAATATTTTAGAATTGAGGCTAAAACCTATTATATGAATTAATTCAATTTTATTTGGTATGAGGAATCGCTTTCTTCTCATCAAGAAATTATGCTCGTCCTTAGGATAAGTACAGAATTTTTTGAGGAATTTTTTGTTTCTGAGTGCAAGATATTTTGCTCTTGAAAATTTTCAAGCCACGAGTTTCTTGATATAAGTAAAGACGTACTTCTCAAAAAACTTTCTTTTTTTCAGTGTAGGTGTTCTTTCTCTACAACAGTTCTATGATTAATGCTTTTGCATCATAATGACATTGTGGGGAATCTCTAAGAACATCTTTTTACGTCTCAAATCTCAATCGTCATATTTTTTCATTCCACCCCGAAATCCATCACCTTTGTCTTCATTCCAGGCTACCTCCATGGGGAATCAACAACCCACATTCCCATTAACCGAGGTGCTGCCCGTCAGATGTATGGCAGCGGAAGTCTTCGGCAAACAAGCAGTTCTTCTCTAATTGATCCCACAGCACCGACCGAACACGAAGACCCTAAATATCCTCGCAAAGACAAAAATGGTCTTCGCTCCGAGGAAAAGACACACCTTCCCGGTACTTGATGCATATTCATTGGATTAACACAGAGAAAAAAACTTTCTTGTTTTCGGTAAAAAAAAAAATCTCTGGATTTCAGAACTCTGTAGTACTGAAAACAAGAGTCTTGGGTTCTTAAGATGAGAACCGTTAGGGGCATTCACATATTGCGTCACGCGATTGAAGAGGGGAATCAAGATAAGTGGAAGAGGCAAGGATGTCAATTTCAGAACCTGAAGGTTTCTATTTTAAAAATTCCAGGCTGCTTGATTTCAGGACTCAACGATTCGTATTTCAAGAACCCAAAGTACTAAATACCAGAGCCAAAGTGCCTTGATTCAAGTACCATGCACCCAGAACAATGATTTATTTGATTCAAGTAAAGTTTATTTGAATCAAATGAATAAGTTTATTTAAATAGTACTAAATAAAGTTTTTTTTTTCAAATTAGATAAGTTTTGTTTATATTAAATAAATGTTTTATTATTATTAATAAATCTTTATTTGAGCCAAATCAATTCTTTATTTATACCAAATAAACAGTGTTTTTATATTGAGAAATTTCTTAATTAGAATCAAATAAATTTTTTCTTTGAACTAAATAAATTGTTCATTTGATTTAAAAAAAATATTTTTCTGGGAGTGGGTACTGGATTTCAGTAAAAATGACTAAGGAGTACATTTTCCCGGATTTTGCGAGAAATTTCAAAGAAATTGTGCCAGATTGAAACGAAATTTTCATTTATTCAAAGAGAATTCTCTCTAAAACTCATAGAAAAAAGTTCTTGTTCTCACTAATTTCTACTGCAATTCAGTACCAATTGTATGACTCAAATTGAGACACATCGTATCTTATTTTAAAGCATCCTTGATTCTGGAATTCAGAACCTTGAGAATTCTGAATTCACACCTTCATGTAAAAACACAACGGTTCCGGGTTTATAAACTTTTCTCACTGAAAACGATAATTCAATTTATTTTAAGTAACCAGTTTCTTCTCCTCAATACAATGCCACCTAAAACGACGATTTTCTCAGATTCAGTACCTTGTTACCGGAAACTAGAAACTTTTTTCTCTGTGAAGCATTTTGAAAAGTTTTATTGAGACTGTTTTCCAGGCCATCGAGATCATTCAGATGATTCTGGACACGGTTACGGATACGGCAGCTCAAACACTCGGCACTCAAAGACTCACTCGCAAATTCCCCCCGGATTTCCGCCGTTCCCGCTAACTGATGAAGACTATGAGGCGAATTTGGACGGTCCTAGCTACCGCAATGGTGCACCCGTGGGTGGTATGCGTATACCAAACACCAATGGTGGGATTTATGGACAGGGAGCTCCTGGTATGGCCCGCGGCGGCCTGACCAGAAGCCGCGGACGCGATGGATATTACGGATCCTTTGATGCCGGTGGTATGTCATCGCCTTCTGTGACACGAGAGCTCATTGGACATAACACAGGAACGCGTCGCGCTAACACGGAGAAAATTATTTGGCTAATTTCGACAATTAGTTGTTGAAATTCACCAACCGGTTTGAAAATGAATTCTCAACCGGTTTGTGAATTCCAACAACTTGTTGCTGAAATTTAATAACTAGTTGTTCAAATTCACCATCTATACACTGTTAGAAATTTTTTAAACTTTCATGGAAAATATGATAGTAATTCTGATAAGAGTGATATTGAATTGGATTTAAGGGAAAAACGGTTATGAAATTTCTAGCTTTAGGTAGAATTCAAAAAAATTTGTTGGTGAATTTCAACAATTAGTTGCTGAAATTCAGCAACTAGTTGTTAAAAAAACAATTATCAACCAGTTTGTGAATTCACCAACTACACTGTTAAACTTTTTTTTTTATTTCATGGAAAATATGATAATAATTCTAATAAGAGTGATATTGAATTTGATTTAAGGGAAAACCGGTAGTGAAATTTTTAGTTTTATGTAGAATTCAAGGAAATTCATGAATTGTCAGTGAGAGTAAGATGGAAATTTCACAATTTGATTGAATTTTCAGTGGAACGTGAATATTCAGAAACAAAATGACATGAATTTTAAATTTTTCCCTGACTTTTCTAGATTTTTCTGAATTTTCACAGAAAATCACGTATATTGATTTTTCAATCATTTGAACAGAGAAAATCAATGGAATATTTGATCTTTTAATGGCAAAATTTCCTGAAATTTCAGTGGAACTTGAACACGATAGAAATTTTCGAAGTTGACACGAAAAATTTAGACGAAAATTTTTAACAGTGTAGTTGTTGAAATTCACCAGCAGATTAGTAATTCATTTTTTTCAACAAGTCATTGGTGAATTTTGCCGATATGAGGCGAAAAAGTACTGAAAATGGAGTTCGCTCCACGATTACTTGACTTGTTCGGTAATTTTTCTCTAATTTTTGCTTCCGAGTGGAAGCATTGAAATCGTTCTATTTTTAGATTCTCTAATTTTGTTTGAAAATGATGTAGAACGGTCTGAAACGTAAAAATACGAAGTTTCACCACATTGTTTTCTCCGAGCATTAGTGATTTTTATCGCGGAAATTTGATGATAGATTCCTGAATATTAGAGATGGCTCGTTAAAAAACAGTGATATTACTCGAAAAATTAGTGATAATGTCACTGAAAATTGGTGGCAAAATAACAAAATTTTCCAATCGCATGTGACATGTCCCTGAAAATCAAAACAATTTTCGTCTGTATTGAATTGCTGCAAACGTCTCCTGAATGATTCTGACCAAAAAACATCTCTGAAGGTTACAACGGTGAAGTCCCACACAAGTCCAGGGTGAACAATGGTTTGTATCGAGGGCACGGCATCGGTTCCATGGGCGAGGCAAATTCCGATGGCTCATTTCCAGAATTGGTCCACGACTTTGACGACGAGAACGATAATTTGTACATTCCGTGCAGAGATAACTGCCCCAGCGACCAGTTTCTTTGCTTCCGCACTTGCGAGTGCATAGATATACACCTGCGCTGCGATGGACCTGTTAGTATTTAATCGTCAATATGTGACCCTTGAAGAGAATCAAGAAAATGTCTCTCTGATTTGCACTTGCAGCTCGATTGTGACAATGGAGAGGACGAGATAGACTGTGAGGAGATCATCGAAGCGAGAAAGTCCAATGGCACTTGCTTTGGGGAACGCAGACTACTTTGTCCGGAGACTGGATACTGTATTGCGGTACAATGGCTCTGCGATGGTGATGATGATTGCGGTGACTACTCCGATGAATCGAACTGCGGTATTTCTAACCACCTTTTAATGCGCTAAAGAGATTGTTGAGCAGAAGCTTCTCTGGTAGTCCGCAGAGAGAAAAATCGGTTGAAAATCGTCTCTGAATTTTAGTAATCGTAGGGAGTGATTTTGCATGAATTTGTGTGAAAATTCCAATGGAAGATGAAATAACTTGGCGAAAATTCCAATATTTTAGGTGAGAGGTTCATAGAAGTTGTGTATTTTGTAACAAAAAACCTAGCAAAAATTATCTCTTATTTTAATAGTCACGAAAAAAATAATATTCTTGAATCAAGTATATTTTATACTCGAATGGAGGACGGATGTTTCAATTCGAGGATGATTACTTCGTATCAGCCCGGGTTGTACCAAGCTCTCTCAAGTGTAATATAGTCAAGAAGTGGAGGTAAAAAAATGAGGGTCGGAATGTAAAGGTGAAGGAATGAGGGTCAGAGTGTTAGGGTTAAAAAAAGAGGGTCAGAATATTAGGATAAAAAAATTAGGGTCAGAATATTAGGATAAAAAAATTAGGGTCAGAACATAAAAGCAAAAAAAGTGGATGCCAGACAATGAGGGTCATATAAGGACTAAAAGCGGGGATCGAGCATAATATATGACTTATATTTAGACCCTCATTGTCTGACACCCACTTTTTTGACTTTTATATTCTGACCCTAATATTCTGACCCTCATTTTTTAACCTTCACTTTTTGACCCTTATATTCTGAAACTTAGTGCCTGACCCTTATATTACACTTAAGAGAGCTTGCTACAACCCGGCCTGATACAAAAGAATCATCTTCGAATTGAAATGCCCATCCCCCAATTAAATATTAAATATACTTGACTTTTTTTCTGTGATCGTGTAGTGTATTAGCTATCCCGGAATTTTGAATGAAATTCTAGGAAGAAATTCAGTATGTCTAGTAGATAAAATTTGAATAAAAGTCTAGTTGATAAAGTTTGATAAAATTTGATAAACGATTGGATTTTTTACCGAAATCATGGTAATTCTCTCCGCCCACTCTCTCTTCTCCCTTAGGTAAAAAATAAAAAAAATTGTTATTCTAGACTAGAATTATTGTATTTTCTCCAAGCGGTCTGCTAAAAATGTCAAATATTCCGCACGATTACTGAAATTCAGGGGTAATTTTCAAAAAATTCTTCTCCCATGCTTCACTGCCACCAACATCAACCCAGTAAAATTCCGATTTCCCTCGCATAAACCATGTTCATCAATTTCAGGAGTCAAGAAGAACTGCACTCAGGATCAATTCGAGTGCCGAAATGGTCTCTGTGTCCAGCAGACCTGGCGATGTGATGGTGAGAATGACTGCAGGGATTTATCCGACGAGGAGAATTGCAGCGATCGAAAGTGAGCTGAAAAATCTTTCATCTCTTTATGAATATTATGAATACGGTAATCCCTTGAAATAGTCGTACGGTAGAGAAGTGAGAAGCCAGAACTCATTCACTTCTTTCACCCAACCATTCTCATGTTTTTCATTCTTAAAGAAAATTCCATCAATCAACATTCAATTGTGACTTTTACCTCGGCAAGAACTCAATATCCAGCTTCACTGGGCTAAATCGGGAAAAGGATGGAATAATTTGACGTGATTAGCATCAAATCTTGAGTTAAAAGGCGTCTCGTATACGTGAACGATTTAGAGTTTGTCAACGGTTCAGGGTTGAGTTGAGGGAAAAGTCAAGCGGGAGAATCTGGGAGAAGCTTGGAGATGACGAGAGGGAGAAGAGAGGAGGAGAGGAAGAAGATATCGGAGGTGGGTGGCAGTGTTGATCCAGGGCGTGGATGTTGCCAAGACAACAGCTAATGGTATCACATTGATGCGTTGGTGGCGCGTGCTATCGACCACTTGAGAGTGTGGGTTTCTCTCTTTCTCCTCTCATACAAATTCAAACAGATCTATTCCAAAATAGATTTATTGACCCGAATTGAAATAAATACATGATAATACGAGCAATGGGAAATGCGTTGAATGAAGAAACTCTGGGGAAATTGTGGGATTCATTGAACTGTCATTCATAAATAAAATTTGAAGTTATGAATTTGTGATGATTCTTCGCTGGCCTCCTCTCTAATTGCTCATTGACCTTTCAACTATAATTTCAATTACGGAGTTTTATGAGAGAAATCCCTGTAGAAGCGTAAATCGATGCTCGGTCCTGGTAATTCAAGATGATTCATCTAAATATCTTATATTCACATCTCGCTCATATGCCTGGTACTGACGTTATATTAACGGAAATTTCATTATTATAGAATTCTGCTACAACCGACTATTTTCGTTACTCTCTACGGTAAATTAATTCCCGGTGTATCGGGCTTTATTTGCTCTTCCGAGGATCGATATTCGGTGATATGGTAGAATATGTTTAAAATTCAATTGCTCAAAGCACTTTAATAGCAGCATTTTCGTCTAAAAGAAAACTAATTGAGTTTCTCGTATGGTGTGCACCTTTTTCCTCATCAATATCACAGTTTTGATGATATTCCCAGAAAATGCAGAGAGGATGAGTTCACATGTCCAGATGGTTCTTGTCTGCCCCGTAAATACATGTGCGACGGTGAGAATGACTGTGAAGATGGCTCGGATGAATTCAAATGCCGTAAGAAATCTCGAAACGTATTATAAGTAAAAAAAGCAAAAATTGAATAAATCACCCGAACGCAGTGAATATTACAGATGGAAATCGCGAGGTCGACTGTGACGAGAATTACTTCGAATGTGCAACAGCAAAATGCATCAGAAAAGAATACCGTTGTGACGGTAGTGACGACTGTGGCGATGCCAGTGACGAGGAAAATTGCCCAAATTTAATGGACTGCAATCCAGATCAATTCAAGTGAGTGCAATTACTCATCTACTGATACTAGAGATGTGAGTGGCAAAAATGACCGTCAATAACCATTGTCATGCCCGGTAATTACCGCGCTGAGAATCTGAATTAATCCATACGGTCAGAAAAAAAATGACGATTCGCCAGAAGCATGAAATGACCGAATAAATTTTGACCGTCAATTTTCATCTGTATAGATGACCCTCGATTTTTGAGTATTAGTCAAGCGATTGCTATACTGTTAAAAATTATTAGCTGAAATTTCCAGTACACTTTCCGGAAATTTTTATCACATTCAAGTTCTAATGAAATTTCAAGGAATTTCGTCTTTGAAAATTATGAATTTTGGGGAATCCAGAAGAACTGTAAATTTTAGTTCAATTATTCCCTGAAAATTGATAGAAAACCGGAAAATTCTGATAAACACATTCTTGAATTTTCAATTATTTCAAAATTCAGGCTACCAAGTACTAAATATTTATGTTTTCAATGAAAATTCAAATAAATTGAAGAATTCTCGTCTTCATGCTTCTTAAAGTTCGGGAATTTGATTGAATTTTCAGTGAAATCTAGAATTTTATGATTTTTTCCCTTTAAATTCCATTCAGTGGCAATGTCCTGAAGAATACTAGTCAGCTGTGTATGAAATTTCATTTTTTTAAACAATGTATCACTGAGAACGGGGTATTAATAATAATAAATAAATGAATAAATGACCCAAAAAATGACCGGAAACCGTCAGAAACCGGTAATTTACTTCTGAGCTGACCGAAAGGGAAAATGACTGTCATTCCACATCTCTAACTGATACTGAATACTGTCATCCTCGCAAAAATAACCCGAAACAAACAAATGTGCGACCCCCAGCGAATCGTAACAACTCATCCATTCATCAACACACAAAGACGAAAAAATAAAAATGAATGAAAAATCCCGGAGTAGTTGAAGGGTCGCTCGTTAGTTCTTCCATTCCTCTTTGTTTTCTTTCTCCATTTGCAGTCCCCGAATACAGCTACATGCAATCAACTTCACTTCATTTTCACCAATTTCCTGTCCATTCAATGAAAAATCCTAGCATCTGGCATTCTCCTTTGACTCCACCCGCATCGCCCCTCGTTCTCTCCCTCCAAAAACCAAAGACCCCTACACATGATTCATATCCAAAGAAATCATGCTGTCATGATACCCCCAGTCGCGTAAAATCCCATTTTCCCCTATTCACTCCCCAGCATCGAATCTCCTCAAATTTCTCATTAATTTTTTATTTCTGTTTTCATCAACAGATGCGGTACTGGCGATTGCATCAACAAACTACAGGTCTGCGACGGTCAGCACGATTGTAACGCGGGGGAGGATGAAGCGAACTGTGAACATCCAACGCCCCGAGAATGTTCAACACCCGACGAATTCGTTTGCGGAGGAAATTGTATATCCGTGAGTATTCAATCGCAAAATTGCATTTTCCTCCCCCTGAAGGGAAAACAATCATAAACGATTTCTGTACATCAGCGTTCGTGGGTTTGTGACGGAGTGCCAGACTGTTCCAACGGGGAGGACGAGGACGGATGCCCTCTGACTTGTGACGCAACCCAGTACTTATGCAAGTCACCTTCAGGTGCGAATGACACAACATCAATTAATAAAACCCCGCATATGCCGTTCCAGCTTACGCAAGCTCACTGCATCAGCAAGAAACGTCTCTGCGATGGAATTCCTGATTGTATCCTCAAGGAGGACGAGGAGAACTGTCCGAAGAAGAGGAATTGCACGTCGAGTGACAAATGCAAACAGCAGTGCATTACAACAGCGAATAATGAGAACGCTTGCGCCTGTGATCCTGGCTTCACCCTGAACAGTGATAATTTCACATGTCTCGACGTCAATGAGTGTGAATCCAGTAAAGAGCCAGTCTGCAGTCAACTCTGCAACAACACCTACGGGGCCTTCGTCTGTGGCTGCATAACTGGTTATGTCTTGAGATCAGACGGCAGAACGTGCAAAGCTCATGGCGGAAATCCCAGCCTGATCCTCACGAATCGCGTGGACATCAGGAGAGTCAGTCTGGCATCTGCGACTGACGCCAGCTACACACCCATTCTCAAAGGCCTGCACAACGCAATTGCCGTTGACTATCACTACGACAAGGGGCTTCTCTACTGGTCCGACGTGTCATTAGACATGATCAAGAGGGTCTACGTCAACGGTACTAATCCAGAAGACGTCATTCGCTGGGGATTGGAGAGTCCCGGAGGTGTAGCCATCGACTGGATCCATGATCTCCTATTTTGGACGGATTCGGGAACGAGAAGAGTGGAAGTCATCACTCTAGACACTAAAGTTCGCCATGTTCTAGTGTCGACGGATTTGGATAAGCCCAGGGGAATAGCTGTGCATCCTCACTACGGCTACGTATTTTGGACTGATTGGGGTCCCTCACCGAAGATCGAACGAGCCGACATGGACGGCACCGGTAGACAAGCTTTGGTAACAGAGGGGATTACTTGGCCCAACGGTCTGACGATTGATTATCCTACGGAAAGAATATACTGGACAGATGCGAAACATCCTGCCATAATGTCAGCAAAATTGGATGGTACCGATAAGAAGAAAGTTCTCAGCAAAGGGCTTCACCATCCTTTCGGTATCACTGTTTTCGAGGACTTGATTTATTGGACGGACTGGCATTTCAAGAGTATTTCCTCGGCGAATAAGGGAAACGGAAAGAATTTCAAGACTATTCGCTCTAATCTGTACTTTCCCATGGACATTCACAGTTATCACAAGCAGCGTCAGCCGTCTTATCCAAATCACTGTGGGAGTAACAATGGAAGATGTTCGCACATGTGCCTACCCAACAGCGCTGGGTACAGCTGTGTGTGTCCAGTTGGTCTCAAGATAAAGCACGATGGCAAGAATTGCGCTTCGACGATAGACAATCTCCTGATCTTTGCGAGGAAACGAGACCTTAGGTTGATACCCATAGATCAATCAACTAGAGTATTCGACACTGTCATCCCAGTTGATCATGTTCAGAGTGCTGTTGCACTGACTTGGGACGCTGACGAGGAGATGATCTACTGGACTGACGTCGAAACCGACTCGATCAGCAGAGCTCACCTCAATGGAAGCAACCAGACTGTCGTAATTAACAATAACTTGGAGTCTCCTGCTGGCCTCGCAATGGACTGGATCACCAAGAAACTTTATTGGACAGACGCAGGGACCAACAGGATCGAGTGCTCAAATCTGGACGGCACCATGAGAACCCTTCTCGTCTACGAAGGGCTTGACAAACCTCGGGACATCGTTGTCGATCCCACTGTAGGATACATGTACTGGAGCGATTGGGGGATCAAACCGAAGATTGAGAGAGCTGCTATGGATGGAAGCAAGAGAAAAGTCTTTGTAGGCGAAAACATCATGTGGCCAAACAGCTTGGCCATTGATTTCTCTAACAAGAGACTCTACTGGGCTGATGGAGGAATGAAGAGCATAGAGTACGTGGACCTAGATGGCAGGGAGGAAAGAGTTCTCGTGCGTTCCAATCTGTCCCATCCGTTCGGTCTAACGATTCATCAGAACAAGATCTACTGGACTGACTGGGACACCAAGAGCATCCACAGGGCGAATAAGGACAAAGGCGTGAATGCCACTGTTGTAAGGGCTCAGTTGGGAAATCTCATGGACATTCGGGCGTTCCATCGTAACCGGAAAGTTGTGCCTAATCCATGCAGAGATAATAATGGTAAATGCTCACATCTGTGTCTGCTGACTGCTGACCCTCCGAGGTACAAGTGTGCTTGTCCCACTGGACTCATCCTCGAGCCCGGCTCCAACCAGAGAAAGTGCAGACCAGTGCCCAATCAGTTTCTGGTGTTCGCCCATCGAATTGACATCAGAATGATCTCTTTTGATGTCAATTATAAGGTGGACGTGCTTCTCCCGGTAAGCTATCTGAAAAATGCAAGTGGCGTTGATGTTAATCGGAGGACGGGTGATGTCTACTGGACGGATCCAGGGCATGACGTGATTACCAAGTCTAGTTTTGACGGGAAGAATATGAAAAATATCGTGTATACTAGTATTGATACTGCTGACAGTCTTGTTGTGGATTCAGTCGGGCAGAAGTTGTACTGGACTGACGCTGGATTGAACAGCATTGAAGTCTGTGAACTCGATGGGAGAAATCGAAAGGTCCTCATATGGTCGGGATTGGATAATCCGAGAGCCATTGCAGTGCATTACGCAAAGGGGTTGATGTTTTGGACAGATTGGGGTCACAATGCCAGGATTGAAAGGGCGAATATGGATGGGGAAGAGCGGTCTACTGTTGTTGCTGATAATCTGGTGTGGCCGAATGGCTTGTCCATTGATACTCAGAACGATAAACTCTACTGGAACGATGCTAAACGTAAACTCATTGAAGTGTCTGATCTTGATGGCAGCAACAGAAGAACTTTGATTAAAAATATTCAACATCCTTATGGACTTTCTGTGATGGGGGATTACATCTATTGGAGCGATTGGCAGACTAAAGCTATTCATCAAGCTAATAAAACATCGGGGAGTGATCCGAAGATGGTGGTGAATAAGTTGGAGGGAATTATGGATGTGAAAGCCATCAGTGTAAGTAGAAGAATCAAAACTGAAGAGACAAATAACTAATAGCGCTCAATTTCCCATGAAATTCTAATTATTCTCATCTTTTCAGATTGACGACATCAAGGGTCTTGAAGACGTCTGCAGAACCAACAATGGTGGCTGCTCCCATCTCTGTCTCCGCAATCCCCGAAGTTACAGCTGCGCCTGTCCAACCGGAATCCTCTTGAAAGACGACAAGAAAACTTGTTACTCAAGTCCAAAGAACTTCCTGCTCTTTGCAGCATCAAAATCCCTCGCTCGCATATCATTTGACACAGCTGAGAAGTGGGAGGAGAGCCTGCCAATCGCAGACATCCACAATGCTTACTCTGCGGACTTCCACTGGAAGAAGAGTCTCATTGTTTACTCCGATATCAACCTCAGGCTCATCAGAACTGTCAACATGCACAACTTCTCAGATACGAAGACAATTATCTCAGAGCCGGAGAATTCAGAGCACTCGGAGTCATCGCCGTTCAAGATAGCTGTTGATTGGCTGGCGAACAATATCTACTGGACGAATATGAAGAAGAGGGTGATAGAAGTGGCGAGGATCGATGGAAGCAGTCGAAAATGCCTGTTGACGGATTTGGATACTCCCTGGTCTATCGCAGTCTTCCCGAAGCTCGGTTACATGTTCTGGACTGAGTGGGGAAAGGAGTCTAATATTCAGAGGGCTTTACTCGATGGCACCAACAAAAAGGCAATAGTCAACAAGAATCTGTATTATCCTAATGGGTTGAGTATCGATTATGAGAAGCGAAAGCTCTACTGGGCTGACTCGGTGAAAGACAGAATCGAAATGTCGGATTTGAATGGGAATTACAGAATTCAGCTGGTACCGAGGGCTGAGAGACCTTATGGATTGTCTCAGTATGGAGAGTTTATTTACTGGGCTGGGTGGGATCAGACGTCGGTGAAGAGGGCTGATAAAGCCACGGGAGACAGTTGGATCAATATTAGGACTTCGCTGCATGGGATTAGCGATGTTAAAGCGGTTTCTGAGGAGAGACAAAGGGGTTGGTCTCCTTGCGCTGTTGATAATGGCGGCTGTTCTCATCTGTGCTTCTTTGTGAAGAATAATTACACGTGTGGGTGCCCCGATATTCCCGATCCTAACTGTTCTACAGGTACATTAATTCTTTTAGGATGTTATGATAGAGAAGTTATTGGTACTGTCGATGTCCCGGTAAGCGCCAATGTCCCGGTTTCTTCCACTCTCAGCCGTTTTTTAATGGAATAGAATTCAAAATTTACCGAGGTAGAATCAACATATCATCTCAGTGGAGTAGGAATTATTTAGTCTTCTAGTCAGACAAGAAATTATCGTAATCGCACAATGACAAGCGTTCAAAATTGAAGAACAGTGTCCACGATCTGCCGAAAAGTGGCATTTACTGGGACATAACTATCAGAATCTTTGACACTATATATTTATAATAATGGCTGGATACTTATGTCATATCTCGATTTATTTCGCATTTTATAGATTAGCTAATGTAATTCTGATCACTATTATTCAAATATTACATATTTAATCGTTCATTTCGGGCAATATCAACTTCATATGATGGAAACAAATATTAACTCTCTACTTAATGCATTAATTTGATGAAGTGTGAAGAAAATATTATTATTTGACCTATTTAACCCATTTTCAGTTCCAAAGAAACGAGTTCCGATCAGAAAACCTGGCACCGAAAACGACCCTGATTACGATGAGCATAACGAAAACGAGAAATCTGTTGAAGTATTCACTAGACCCACTCACAGGGATGGTAGCGATAAATTCAAGAATTATAAGATTAACAAGGACAAAGGCTACACCACCATGACCATCACCATAATCGTCATTGGTGGGATAACAGTAGTGATTATTTGCGCTATTATTTATCTCGTCTGTCAGAGGAAGCCTAAGCAGGAGAAGTACATGTACACGAATAGGAGAAACGTTCTGACATTTTCAAATCCAAACTACAATGCGTCTGGGGCTGACGTTGGACCCAACAATCCTCCAGCTGAGAAGAAATCATTCATCTGGAAGAGATTGAAATACGATAGTTCACAGGTTGGTTGACAGTACTTTAATGTTATTAAAGTAAAATTCGTCATCAGCGAGGAGGCAATCACTCTGGAAATAACTTTTCAAAGAATTTCAGAGACATTCTGAGAAATTTCGTATGCTTAGAAGCGATTACAGTGGAATTGCAAGATTTTGGACAGTTCATATATCCCTTTCTCCACACATTGTGTTAACTCTAGTCTGGTCACCTCTGCGGGGATTCCCAGTCGTGTTATTTAGGCTCTAGCGTTGCCGAATTCACTCTACACTGCCCGGGCGCATTTAGCGAGTTTCCGGCAACGTCGTGCGATGGATAATTCAATTTAACATGGGAAAAAATAATCCATCTGTTCGAAATAACTTGTTTTCTTCAGGAATTTCGGGAAATATGTTGTTCTAAAAGCTACTATAGTTCTTTAGATACTTCAATTGACAAAGTCAAATTTTTTGACGGGGATACGTCTATGGTTTCAATATGGGGCGTCATTTTGGAAAACGGTCCTTATGTGCAGCGCCATCTATAGGAATTCTAGAAAATTCTAAACGTTTCGAGGTAATTCGAGAAGACGAAACCAGAGTTTCTAGAAATGTGGAGGACATTCAAGGAGTTTCTAGAAAATTCGAGAGAATGCAAGGAGTTTTTGGGAAATTCGAGAAAGGAAAGACCATGGACGTATCTACGTACTATTATAGCTGTATCGAAGATACAGCCGTCTGCAATTTTTTTCAATTTTTCCGGTTAGCCAGTCAATTCCCGCATATGGTGACCAATCCAGGATTAAATTCAGAATAAGATTTCATGGTGTTTTAGATATTTCAAATGATTTCATTCAGAATTCCATGGGATTTCATGGGATTCCGATATCATCTGCACCCCAGATTTCATGAGTGATTACCTCCTCCGTCATCAGTGATATTTTTGAGGTCAAAGAACATTTCGAACGCTTTCGATTTTCTTTGGACTCAAGTGTTTTATCGATAAAGTAAGATGCGCTAATCTTGCGCTCATTCTTTCTTTCCCCTTTTTCCTACTGAAAAAAAACAAACATTGAATTATTGATGGCAAACGTCACAAAAAATGTAAATTTTTAATGATTGAATTGAACAAACTAAATTGGAATAGAAATCCAACTCAGCCAAAGTTGAATGCCCGATCAAACTGCAACATCTACCTCTACGCTTCATCCAAATGAATGAGACTGAAACAATGTAGTTTTAGATATGTACAGCTCCATGGCTTGATCCCGATGAATCCCTGGTCATGGAGCTATCGTCTGATGTCGACTCAAGAATATCGACAATATTCTAAAGATAAATAAAGAGATTATAGAAGTCAGAGCATTCTAGGTAGACGAAATAACCCATCCACAGAGCAAAACCAGGAAGAAGGAATAAATCAGACTAATTTTTGTAAGATGTACCTGATCGTTCCGTCAAGAGAGCTTGAGGAAACAACCTGATTGGGCATACGACCAAAGACTGAGTTGAATAAAAAAATGAAGCCAATTGACAACTAGAAGAAATAGAGAATTAAAAGACAAGAATGATAGATATTTAATGGGAAAAATTGGGAAAGAAGGAATCAATAATTCATTGTATTATAGGAAAGAGTGTACGAGGACAATGGGCCGACTCCGAGCCCTGAAGTTGTATCACTGATACCTCCCTCAGCAACTCCAAGCAGCAGTCGTGCACCCTCTGTCACACCGAGGGAATCATCACCCTCACTCATACACGATACGCATCTAAATGCCTGACCGGTAGCTACCGTTGACGAGAGCCTTTTTTACTATGGCAGAGATAGATTGAGGGAGAAATACGAGAATTTTTGAATATAAATCCAGACAAAAATTACCGTGCTGTGAAGTAATGTGAAGTCAATGTCGTTAATGAGAGAAAAATGACCGAATATCACAAAAATAATTTTTTGCGCTAAGAAAATTGCAAAATTTGATCAATCCACGATAAATTTCAGACAAGAAATCGGTGAGAAAAACGATTCTTATCGAAACGATAAGAACGTGATTTTCTCCTCTCGTTAGAATGATTTTTTCTGCAGTGAAATGCTTTTCGATTTTTGTGGCCGAACATTAGAGCTTTCATTTGAGCCCTATTTCACCCTAAGTTTCCGGACATTTTACAATGATTTTATTATTCAAACTTTGCATAAGATTCTACAAATCTGTGAAAAAAAATTTAACGTTACTTTTAGAGGAAAATTGATGAAATAATTTGACAATTGCAGTAAAAATTATTTGTTCGAAATCGTAACAAATTTATTCATAATCAACGAATGTTTAAAAAAATAATAATCATGCGCAAAATATAATTTGAATAACGCTGAATATTGATGATTCTTTTCAAATTTTTCTCACACGATTTAATTGACAAATTTGATGATTGAAAATGATTGAATCTGTAGATTGGGCTCTACCAAACTAAAAGATACTTGGATATCTTTACATGTCATGAACACTTCACGGAATTCTCACATGACCTGTATCATTATAGACCATCTCAAGAGAAAAAAATTTCTCTTGTGATATGAGATCGATTCTTCCTTCACTGCAAACAGAGGAAAAAATCTCAGTTTGGAATGCGAGCACGGTAATTTTCCTGGTATTTTTTTCTCCGTATAGGTTCAGCCAATTTATTAATTCAGAGTCCATTTAACACCCTCGAATCCCCAATTTTTTAGAATTTCCTTAAACTATTTGTATAAAAACCCAACTTGGCTTATCGATTTCATAATTTTCTATTCATTTTCCATTGAATTCTGTTGAAATTATTTTTATATCGAGAGACAAAACGAGATTGATAATGTGCGAACCATATTTGCACTTCGGCTAAGCAACAAGGACAGGCTTTCGGAAGGTCAGGATCATACCGAATGTAATGTCGAAGTAACAGGGAAAAATCATTAGACGAAAATTTCAATCAATCTCTGCATTATTTATAGTTCGCTGGCCGTTGAAAAATGCGTAATTGTCCCAACCCAAGTATTTTTCTAAGTGACGGAGATGATCTAAATGAGATTATAAAATTATGGATACATATATTTTTTCTATGAGAAATGCTATTCAATTATTGAATATGGTATGGATGTCCCAGCGGGCCTAGGGCACTCCAAGACGTCCGCAATGACGAAATTTGAAGCAAAATGGAAAGAAAAAACGAGTCTAAAAGAAGTAATTAGACCAGAACACCAGAATAATTCAATTAGAAGTTTCTCAAGCCGAGAAATGTGAAATCCCTGATTCATTTACTTAATTTATATTTAAAAAAACCGAAAAAGGGGATGGAAAATTGAAGACAAGTGATTCGAGATCTTCTTACCTTCCGACAAAACATTCAACCAATTAATACCGAAAAGGCAAACGAAAATGGCGATAAAAAATACGTATAAATCATTGGATTTTGTGTCATCTTAGCGTAATTACACCAATCCTTAGAACAAGTTGTCATCGAATTTAGAAATTCCACGAGATTAAACGAGTAATCGAGAGCGGAAAAATTATCAGATATCCACGGAGTCTCACTGTTAATCACTGTCACAAAATTATTAAAACGTTTCCGAGTAACAACTGGTCGTAAATAGTGCGATGCTGATGGACATTAAGAGCTCAAGGATTAAATGTGATATGGTGCAGCCAGTGAGGAAATTAGTGAAGTAAAAATTCAAAAAATTGAGACATTTGATGATTCTACTTGTAACTGTAAAGAACAAAAAGTTATTATCGATCGCGTGCCGTCCGCCGCTGATTTTTTGTCTCTTTCGAACACGTATTTGTCCTCTAAATTGAATGGAGTTCAGGTGACAACATCTAGAGATTATTTATCCTTGAATCAAGAGAAATCTCTCCATACGAATGCATGGGATGCGTGATTGTTAATTCGAATCGATGGTTATTCAGAGTAATTATTATTTACACCTTGTAATATTGCGAGATAATAAAAATAAATGGAAGAGACGAGGCTCCAGTGAGTTCAAAGCTCAGGTGAACACACGCGAGCCAACTCTCGTGCAATTTTATCAACGTATTCAATTAGTCCTGGAGTTGAGGCAAATAATCCGAGGTCTGATTACACTGACAACAATAAATATCATATATTTGTCTGGGAATGACTGTGAATGATGATGAAATAGAGGAGTAATGCGTGATTAAGGATTTTTCTATGTACGAAAAAATTGTTCTTGACTAATCTCGATTAAAATTTTGCCTCTGTTGATCGTGCCAAAGTGAGGGTAATAACACGAAGACTAATAAAGAAGTATTGTGAATGTGTAAATAAACGTGAAGAATTAATTCAACTAATTTAAAGAGGCATTGTAATATTTGTATAGGAGTTGCAGGTAATTTTAGAGTAAATAAGGGTGAAAATATTGTTTAATATATTCGTGCATCATGCTGCCTCCGCATGATGTTGAAATAAAATATTCCGTATCCTGATCTCGACTCATTGTCTATTAATCCTTGTTAATACCTTTTTGTTTGAAGAACAACACTGTTTTTTATTATTTACATCACCTTTATTGAACATCTAACTCACAATCAGTTGGAATTAGTACATACTTATAATTATGAATGGTGAACATATCATAGCACATCATGACACTAAATAAACATTACTTAGTACCAGAAATAGAACACAGAGTTTCGTTTTCATTTGGCCGAATGTGAATGAAAAACATTGTTTTGTCTTGTGACACAGAATTAAGTGAATAAAAATATATATCATTTAGATATTTTGTAAAGCTTTGCAGTTCCTATGCTCTCGCTTCGAGAGGGATATCGACTCTTTGAATGATAATCTCATTCATTAAAATTTTAGTTACCCGTCTTTGGTATTTGTAAAGCACATTCTGCATTCATTCATTGGAATTTGTAGTTAAATTTGGTCCGTAGAGGATCGTAATACTGTGGGGATTGGCTTCCAGAAATACGTGAATAAATTATGGCATTAGCATGAGGAATGTTACGTTTGGAGCGTCAGAATGCTCTTATTCACATTATAACTTAGTACATTTATCCCTGTAGACTTTGGGGTCCTTTGAGTTGTGAATAATCTCATTTATGTTGGAGTTCAGGAAAGATTTCGTACATGAGCACTTCGAAAATGTCCTGTAAAAATGAAACTGTTATTTATTGTCCTCAACAACATGACTGCACCTCGATGATCAGGGATTTTAGAGGATAATGTGAAAAGAAATTTCTACCAGATGCCTTCTGATATTTTCTCGTAAAACCTTTCATTATCGAGATGAATGCACACAATCGAATTATTACGTTTCATCCCCTAACGTACGATAATAAGAACTCTCTTAATTTGTAGGTCTATAGAAATTCATAAAAATTTTTTTTTATGAGACAATTCTTATGTCATTGATTATCATTTTTATTCATGGCAACATTGATTTTTCTCAATTCAATTGTAAGAAATCTGCAGTGTGATGTCATGTATAAAAAAAATTGAATAAAAAACTTTAGTGAATTCGCCAGAAAATTCTATTGGGATTCTACTAAAATTCTAGGGAATTCTCGTTAAAATTCTATTTGTTTTTTGCGCTGATTCTATGAAACATTTGATAGGACAAAGTCAATAGATTTCGATTTTTTTTAATGAATATTCTCTTAGAATTTTTTTATGAGAATACTTGGGAATTTATTTTCCAAGGTTTTTTCACTCGGATCCTGTAATGCAAAACAAAACAAAATATAGCAGAAAAAACTTCGTGAAAAAATCCGTGACCAATAATTTTAATAGAAAAAATCTCAAGCGAAAAATTCAAACAAAACAATCAAAATCTATATGCTTTTTCCTATCAAATATCTAATGGAATCTCCGCAACAAACCAATAGAATTTCAACGAGAATTCTCTAAAATTTTCGTACGTGGTGACAACACAAATGTCTCCAATCACAACATACAAAAACACCTCCGCCATATCTACGAATGAATTATTAAAAAATACTCACATAAAATAGCTGCTTATTCAGATTAACATTCTGAAGAGTATCAAAGACCTTCGTGGCTCCCCTCTGCGCGCTCTGAGCCCCAACAAGACTAGCCAGTACTTCCGGTAGATTACTGAGGAATTGTCTCCTAGCTTCCCCCCTGGTCCTCAACTTCTCTTCATCAGTCCTCGCCGCGGGGCTAGGAGCGAGCTGCCCATTGGGCCACCAGGACTTTGTGAACAGTTGAATGTAATAATGCAGCATCGGTTCCGAGAACAGCCACCCAACAGTCTCCCTCACTTGCCTATTGATAGTCCTCCCATACGTGATCTGCACGAAAGTGATCAATGATCTCCTGAGCCACCTGAAGACCCCCCTGAGATCGAAGACTTCCCCGAGAAGAGCGTAGAGTGGCTCAGCAATGGCGTCCTTACCAGGTCCCAATATAGCATCAGCAGTAGATCTCCCGGCCTCATTATCATCCAGCAAAAGGGAATAATCCTCCTCGTCCTCCTTATCGCGCGAGTCCCCACTCCCCCCAGAATTACTCTTGAACAAAGTTGACAACGAAAACCTCGATTTTTTGGGAGAAGGCGCCGTGTGCTTCAGATGCTCCGAGCTGGGGCTCAAGAAAGCATAAAGCGCTTCACTCTGATTAAGCCGTTCGTCCTCAAGAACAAAATTCAAATACTTCTGGGTCTGATTCTTGGCTTTATCCAGTGAATTCTTATCAGTTTTACCGAAGAACTTGAGCGGTTGCGAGGGCAACTCGAGAGTTTTAACGTTCGAGCAGAGTTGTCGTAGCTTCCTATGAAGCTCTTGAAACTCTGTGAGCTTTCTGAATACCACCCACCCCGTTGAAATGCTCTCATCATTGCCCTCCTCCTGCGCCATGTGTACGACAATAATAAATTGCGGTGGATCTCCATTATCCGGGGTTTCTGCACTCTGAACATCAGCCCTCCACTTTCCCAAATGTTCCGCCCACATTTCCGTTTGCGTCAAGTGTGTCTCTAACTGTCGTTTCTCCCCCTGCAGCCACTCGACTTCTTTAGCAAGAATACTCAATACTCGGCTCTCTGGTTTAAGGGATGACTTCAGTGCCTGAAGGGCTTGCATCTTGTTGCTCAATTTCTCCTGCAATTGATCGAGTTTACTGCGAGCGTAATTCGAGTGTTCACCGACCAGAAGTGATGTTGTCTCCAGCATAGTGCCCTCTGCTGTTTGAATACGATCTTCCCCGGCCATTCCATCAGCCCGTTCACTCAACAATGCCTCCTGCATCTTTTTGTACTGCTCGCTGACCAGAAAGGATGGATAATACTTCTCCTCGAGGGTCCTCACAACGTCCTCCTGCACCTCGTAGAAGACATCAGGACCCTTGTCACCTAGGAGGAAAGCCTCCATCCGTTTCTTCACATTCTTGTCGACTTTGATCTCCGCAGTTGGGGATCTTATGTACGTGTAGAAGATCTCGGCGCCCAGCTGGTGCCAGTTGGACCTCTCAGCACTCCTGAGCTCTTGAACTGCCGCCCAATACCCCAGGAGGCCCTGACTGGCCACTTGCTCAAGGAACGCTGACAAGTGTCTGCGACCTGTCACATTGTCCAGAATTATCTGGAGAGGGAGGACTCTGCCTTCTGTTCTCACAGTTGGATCCACCTCGTCAGCCTCCTGCACTCGATAGCCGTCCCAACCTAGACTCTGCATGTGAACTTCACAGGTGTTCTTAGCGTAAGTCAACTGGCTTATGTAGCGTTTGAGTTTCTTCGCCTGCACAGCGTCAGATTTACCGAAAGTGTTGCTCTCTGGGTCGAGCCCCTGGGACCTCTTGACGTTCTGTATCGTCGTTGCCTGCATAATCTCGGTGACAATGTTGTAGCGAATGTGTTTCAGGACCTCTAGATCTCTCGAACTCTTGATCATTCTTATAAAATCCTCGAAGGACTCGGCGTACTCGTAAGTCTTCCTGTGCATGGCTTCAGCCTGTTGCTGTTGCTCGATGTACAGTAAAATTTTTTGATTTATGTAGTCTGGATCTGTTATCAGGTCTATGGCAGGCTTGATGATTTTACTGGTGATTATCTCGCGCAAGAGGTATTTGGCGGGAGACAGGGAGTAACTCCTCGGGAGAAAAAACATTATGAGGAGTTCACTCACACGTCGCAGGTACTCGAGCTCAGAGGTCTTGGACATCAGGTGGGACGAGAGAATGAAGACTGGGTCTTCACCCTCGCTTGCAGCTGCCTGGGCTATTCTGATCTTCTCGAAGTGGAAGGCCACTTTGTTTACGATACTGCAAGCCACGAGTTTTGTGTGGTCGACGCGGGAGAGACGCTCGTGGAGGCTTTGAATAGCACCCCAAATGTCTTGCTTCATGCTGTCGATGGTCTGGTCGGGGCAGAAGGCGAGGTCGTCTAGCCAACAACCGACGAAATCACGGAATGCTAGGTCTAGGAGGTTTTGGAGGGAACCGTCCACTGGTCTTGAGAACATTACTGGGTATTTGTTTGGACGACGGCTGGAGGATAACATTGGCTCGTATCCTTTCTGAAAATTTTGGGGGGTTATTGGAGTGTACCATCGTTCCTTATATTGAAAAATTTAATTGAATAATCCAGTGCTTTGCTGGGAAATTCTATAGAATCTCTGATAGATCAAACCCAGAGTTAACTCTGGGTCAACTCTGGGTTTATGGAAAAAACCCAGCGAAGAAAGAGAGGAACTCTGGGGAATTTCCATGAACCCAGAGTTTACCCAGAGTTAACTCTGGATTTGATTCATCAGGGATTGCCGTTGGAGTTCTATTGGGATTCTTTGCTTTTGCGCCAATTCTATTGAAGATTATGCAATTTAATTCCCTCATTTTGTTGAGAGATATTGATTATTGAGGCCATTTTACCCATTCTCCCGACATTTAAATTGCATTAAAACCTCGATTTGACCAAATATCGTCTGAATTTTCACCAGTATTTTGTGATTTCAACAGTTACATACATAAAATCAATAAATACCAATGGTGTTACATTCAACTCACTAGCCAAATGGTAAAACTGTTCAAGTCAATTTTGACTATTGGCCAGTTTTCAATGAATATCTCGGATTCTAGAGGAGATAGCTAAATTTTTGTTAGGACCTTTTTTGTAGAGCCAATTAAGACCTAAAACAAATGTAATTACAAAATTTTGCTATCTCCCTTAGATTCGGAAATATTCGTCAAAAACTCAACTGGGAGATAAGTCTACTCCTACCGTTTTACTACTTCGCTATTGAATTGAATTTGATGAATAATGTCTCAATGATAAAATGGAGTTTTAGTGAACAAAAAGGTGAAAAGAAGGGACTGTTCCACATGGCAATCCCCAATGTTAAATTCCATTCAATAATAAGTTCAATAAAACTCACCATCAACATCGTCCTAAACGTATCCATCTCAACAATAGTTTTGGACGTTCCAGCACCAGTTTGATGCTCAGGGGACAGAGCAATATGAACAAGAATAAGTACCAGAGGACCGATGCAACAACAGGATATCGATAACAATATGTAACAGTAGAGCCACAACATGTTCTTCCACAGGGAGAATAATGATATGGAGATCAACACTATTAGAACACTGACTAGCAGCACCTTGAGATGCTGTGGCTTCCTAGGTGAATCCATCATCAATTTGTATTTATCTACGTAATCAATATTCCTTTTTCTAACTATTGTAGCATGTGCTCAGGCTCGTGTAACCTGAACATCCGCATGTCTTGGATGTTTACTGGAGTGACATTGTCTTCGCTGACTTTTTCTGATTGTTGAAGTTTGTGTAGCACTTTGGAAATGTTAATTCAGGTGTTATCGGCACTGACATCATGCTGATGGTGGTGATAAGTACAATACAAAGTGTGTTGTTATTTGACAGCTGTCAGTGAACCCTCGCCACTCTCACCTCTTCAATCCTCTGATGGTTGGCGCTATCTGGAGGACGAGGCTGGAATACGGAAAGTCTGTGGGGTTTTCCCTAACAGTAATTTACCGGCCTCGATGGAATAGTAGAGGCAATCAAGCGCTTTTTTTATCCATTGGTACTAAAGTAAATTGAAATAATAAATTTTTGCCTCGGTTGCTTCCACATGGAAGCTTTGTGATCGCTCAAATTCAAGTTTTCAATTTTTTGTGTATGTATGTACCTATGTGGTCTTTTTAATTAAAATAAAATTACTAAATTCTAAAAATTAATACATGAGTTAAATGTCAACTAATGTCGATGGATAGGGTTCAACGATACTTACATTTGCGATTCATTTGTGAATAATTATAAAAAACTTTCTCACATAGATAAATACATACACTGACAGAAAAAATTAATTTTATCATTTGGTTGGTAATTTTCAAATAAACACGATTTCATACCAGTTATCTCTTCTTGAGATACATTTGATTGGGAGAAATCGATCGTCTCTAGAATTGAAGTTCCCTTTATTTGTCGCAATAATGAGAGTATTTAATTTTTTCTAGCCAAAAGTTTGCTAGCTCCACAAATTCGTTGGTTTACTCAAAAATCAAAACTATTCTCATGAATCCGTTTTCTCTAAATCCGTTGTTATCTCAATCAACACGATCATATATTGTTCCAAATAAATTATAATTGAAGTGAGCATTTCGTATGTCGAATCAGGATAAATACTGTTACGCGGAAAAAGCTTTGAGATTGTCCTAAGATGTCATTGAGTTGAAAGAAGTTTATATTTCTTGACTAAAAAAATTGCATTAGTTTACAATAACAGAATCACAGATTATGGCGATTCTGCACAAACTTGGATATCACAAATTACGTTCAATGTGATCTACGGAAAGCTCAATTTAAACATCGGCTTCATTCGAGAAAACAACATTCACTTCACTTCATTCCTCAATGTAATCATCTTCTAGGAAAGAATTTTTTATCAATTCATGAAAATTGAAAATTTCTCGACTGGAGATTATATTAGGTTTAAAAAAATAGAACTTTTCCATTTTTGTGGTGAATACATGTGACTTGACGCCAAGGACTGTTTTATGTTATTCAAGTAAATGTATTTCAAGAAGAAATAACTGATATTCACCGTAAGATGTTATTTATTTGAAATTGGTTCAAGTATATAATACTTGTTCCAAGAAAGAAACATCTCAATAAAAATAATTTTTTCTATCAGTGTACACGCACACATACCGACTGCATCTGATAATTGCATTTTCAGACTTTTTTGACCATAAGAGATTGATATAACACAAAAAATTAAAAATTTAAACGTTAAAGATAACAAAGATTCCATTTGGAACTAAAAATCACACTAACAGTTAAGAAAATATCAGTTATAAAATGTAAGTTAAATAACAGTTAAGAAACTAATAATATAGATTTTGTACGGCAATACTGTATAAATGATTGTCGTGGAATGAAAAAAGCGATGACATGCCAAACTGTTAAAATGTTAGACTAGAAAGGAAATGTGCAGAATGAGAGCAAATCAACAATTATAAAACATACCAGATTATCCAATTATCTTCACCGCTGGAGCCCGTACTTATATTATCACTCAATTCACTCAATGGCGTATGAAACCGCCGCGTACATCACAATAAAATTGTAAATAAGAAAATGCACAGCGCATTCAACATCTCGAAATATCTCTTGATCCCCGTGAAACGACCTTCAATGAGCATCATAAACCATGACGAAAAATGAGAAAACACAATGATGTATTTACATGTACTCATGTAATTATTCTGGGAGCATTATTCGTTTTACGACCTGAGAAATTCCACCCCTTATCTTAATGCTGATGGACAGCTAATGGGTGAAAATATTATGATTATAAGGTGTTCGTGATACTTACCAGTGATGCTGTTGTAAACGAGATGTAATTCCAACTTGTGTATTATGAAGAAGAACAATTTCAAATGGAATTACACTCAATGTTTCTTCTCTTAATTTTCTCGGACGCGTACTGTTTGTTTTTATCACTATTGCTGGTCAGCTGGGGTTAAAATCACTCACTTGGGGTTATTGAAACGGGAAATATACAATTTAGAGAGGTCTAATGGAAATATTTAATGTCTTCATTTTTTGGGGGAAGGCCAATTGATCAGAATGTTTTTCAATATTGAAGTCATCAGAGTAATGAACCCTGAAAACAATTTTTCTGTTTTAGTCATTCAGAGTCTTGGGCAACATCGACAACTTGTTGAGAAATTAGTGCTCTCTGAAGAGAATGTGATAATGATGACTTCAACTTTTATATTTACTTGTAGCTCATTGGAGGAATTACCATGAAATGCTGATTGATATTATGTGACTTAATTTGATGTTCACTAGACACACAATCTTTCATGTCAACTCGCTGCACCATTTTTTAATAAATAAATTATTGACGTTTGTGAAACATATAGGGTAAACAGGTCAATTTCTGGACGCAACTTAGTTTACGAACGATTTCAACCTGCATTGAATATTCCATAAATAAAATGAAAATTGTACTGATTATTCCATCTTTCAATAATATTACTCGTGTACTATCACGTGATCAACTATTTTTTCTATTGATCGAAATTTAATAAATGAAAAAAAATATGGCCCAGTCGTCCAAAAATTAGGGGTTTCGGCTGTGTTCAACTATTTCTTAATGTAATTATTCTTCGTTTTGTTAGTTTCCCTTCAAATAATTTTTTTCTGCTAATTAAAACATTCTTGAAGTTATAGAAGCCATCATATCCCCATTTAGGTGATTCTTTTATTTTAGATCCTACCACGAAACTCGAATTTCCCTCAACAGCCTGGCAATTGGCCTTTTCACCCCATGGATGTTGTTTCCTCAATTTTCTACGCAGTGTTTCTTTTTATCACTATTACTGTAAATATGTGGTTAAAATCACTCATCTGGGGTTAAAACAGGGGAATAAATAACTCGGAGAAGTCTATTGGGAATGTCTACCGAGTGGGTCATCAAAGTGAACCTAGATTAAAAATCTTGGACAACAAAGAACAGTGTAATGAACAGTGTAACAATGATGATTTTGATCTTACTATTTACTTTGGTCGACTGCTAAAGGACTTATTTCATTGTTTTCTGGATTCACAACCACTTATGATACCCAACTACACAATTTTCGGGTAAATAAACGAGTAATAGCCGTTCGCGACGAGATTCTCTGTCCAACACTCACTGCACTGACACAGCATCCCGCACGAAATACATTCCTTTGTTTAAATGTGAGGCTAGTATTTGTTGTTGACCCCTAGCCTCTACAAACAATTCGATTTAATCCACATTTTTTATGCTCATAATCAATGATTCATTATTAATCACTGGGTGAGAGTTCGTGATATTTTATTCCCTGAAAACGACAAGGAGTGCATTAATGACGACTTTAACCTTGATATTCACGCCTGATCCACAGGTATTGGTCTCAATTCGTTGTTTCTGGGATACACAACCACTTCTAACAATTCACTGTACAATTTTTTGATAAATTAGCGATAAATATTCGTCTGTGACGAGTTTTTCTGTCCAACACTCAACGCACTGACACAACATCCCGCACGAAATACATTCCTTTGTTTAAATGTGAGACTAGTCTTTGTTGTTGACCCCTAGCCTCTACAAACAATTCGATCTAATCCACATTTTTGATGCTCATAATCGCTGATTCATTATTAATCACTGGGTGAGAGTTCGTGATATTTTATTACCTGAAAACGACAAAGAGTGCATCAATGACGACTTTAACCTTGATATTCACGCCTGATCCACAGGTATTGGTCTCAATTCGTTGTTTCTGGGATACACAACCACTTCTAACAATTCACTGCACAATTTTTTGATAAATTAGCGATAAATATTCGCCTGTGACGAGTTTTTCTGTCCAACACTCAACGCACTGACACAACATCCCGCGCGAAATACGTTCCGTTGTTTAGATGCGACGCTGGCGCCCTCTTTGTTTCCCTTAGCCTCTTCGAAATCACGTGATTTCCAACACTCTTTATGTTTATTCATGAAGATATTCATTGGTTCATTGTTAATTATTGAGTGACAGTTCGTTATATGTTATTACATATGCTTTGAGTAATTTTGGAGTAAGATCGCGGTGCACCGGCTATTTTTGTTCGACACGCAGCACTCCGCCATCTCGTCTCACTCCCGCAACGACTGGCTCCCGCGCGAAACTACCGGAAATACCGGTCGAGTCAAAACAAATATTAAGGATTTTTGGTTTATTCGTTCTCAGGTTCAAATGATTAATCAGTCAATTCTCATTGCTACGAGAAATGAATAGTTCTAATTGAGAATGCGAGAGATTGAAATAAATGATCATGAAGTTAACAACAATCTTCTTATCAAAGGCAAAGGGTTTTTACTGAAAAAACACTATTTTATGTCAACAAAAATTTAATGGACCATGGAGATTTCAAGGAAGGTGAGTGACTATACTACTTACATGGATGAAAAAATTTAATAGAAAAACCTAGCGAATTCGTTGGAAAATTCTATTGGATTTCTATTGAACTTTCTATTAGTTTTTGGCCGATTCTATTGAAACGTTCAATAGAAAATATTTAATGGAAAAATAAAATCTTTCTATATCATTTATTGTATTGAGATATTTTCTATAGAATTTCTTCGGCTCAAATTTTCTAGGTTTTTTTGTTTGATTTTATTGATGGGAAGAAATTAAGAATAGAATGAAAAAACTTGGAAAATTTGAACCGAGGAAATTCTATAGAAAATATCTGAAAAGAATAAGTTATATAGAAAAATCAGATTCTATTGACTTTTTCTATTGAATATTTTCTACCGAACATTTCAACAGAATCGGCCAAAAAATAATAGAAAGAATTTTTCTATTAAATCTTTTCGTGCGTGTATTATCTCTCCCTCAGAGTCAGAAACACATGCATGAATAAATACTAAGAAGAAATTCCATTAGAATTCTATTCACATTCCATTGGAAATACACTAGAAGTTCTAGTAGTTTTTTGTTGATTTCTATAGAAATTATGAAAACTTTTCCGCGCAGTTTTGTAAACGAAGTGTTGATATAGAAAATATGTCATAAAAAAAATCAATAGATTTTGATCTTTCTATTCAATCCAATTTCTTGATATTTGTTGTACAACACAATTTAAAAAAAAAACTTGGAAAATTTACTTCCGGCGATTTTTATAAGAACAAATCAATGGAATAGACTCCGTAGGAAAATCGAAATTTATCAACTGTTTCTAATTAAACATTTTCTGTAAATATTTATATCCACCGCGAGGAGCCACCGATTTTCTAATAGCAACGAGCAGAAAACTACTGGAAATTCCAATAAATATTCGACAGCATTTCTTAGGTGAAGTGCAAAGATTCCAGTGGAAAATTTTATGCGTGAATTCATCAAAAGCTCGAGAAAAGTGTTGATTCATCCTTAAATCAAATTGACTCAGCACTTTTCCTGCTTCACTCCTCGCGCTATTAATTATTAATGTTTTATCATATTGAGATCCCAATTGTCTTGATCATGTTCTTGATGGACTTCCGTGAACCGATATAATATTCTCTCCTCGTTAACAATTTATGTTCGACCAGAGGGAAGTCTCGTAAGAAATGTTCGATCGGGTTGACTTATTAACGACGTAATCAAGGATTGATTAACCCCATGGCATATCGATGCGGTCGTATCGACTACTTCAGAAAGTGGCTAGTTTTATCTTTCGCAATACTGACCATTCTTCGTCCTTTACACTGTGAGTCGCAATGGCTCTGATTCTCATAGTCGTGCTGATTTATTCCTGCAGATTTGTAGTTGGTTTTAATGACTTTCCATCGCTCATGACTGCAAATGCTACGATGGGTACGTTTTATTCATTTCAACACGTACAAAAAATTTATAGAAAAACCCAGCGAATCCGCTAGAAAATTTTATATTCTAATTCCAATAAAAATTCGATTTGCATTTGATTTGATTCGATTTTGATTTGTTTTCTATTCTAATTCTATTTCTGTTGAACTTGCTACTAATTTTTGGCCAAATTCGATTTTTCTGTACAACTTATTCTATTGAGATATTTTTTGTTTTTTTGTTTGATGTTTCTAAGAAAACAAGAAGAGAAATAAAGTAGAAAAATCTGAGAAAATTAATGTCGTGGAATTTCTGTAGAAAGTGTCTGAATAGAAAAAGTTGTGTAGAAAGATGAAATTCTACTGATTTTTTCTATAAAATTGTTTCTATTGAACATTTTCTATTATTAAAAAAACAGTAAAACTGTGGAATTCTTCAATAAAATCGGTTAAAAACTAATAGAATTTCCAAAAGAAGTTCAATAGAATCCTATAGACTTTTCCACTGAATTTGTCAGGTTTTGCTATAAAATTTTTTCATTCATGAATTGATTTAATATTCCGTGTTTAATAATATTCTCCAAGTGATCGTGATTGAAAAAACATTCTACGAGAGAAAAATCCTGATAAAAGAGACATCAATCTTCACACGAGAGGCTTATGAGAAAAGCGTCGCTTCATTCACAAGTGCGGCTACCAAAATAGCGAGGGAACGTATGAATATTAGTGGATTATCAATTCATGTGGCTCAAGATATGGGAGCAAATTTAGCTCGAGGTAAGTATTATTAATGACACCGTAAGAGAAGCACTCAAGGTTTCAAGGGAAAAGATGCAAAATTTTCACAAACGTAGGGGAGTGTGAGGTAAAACGGCCCCTTTTGATTTTTTCAAAAATGTTAACAGCTCATTCAATTTTAAATAAAATGAAATAATTTTTTTTCCATGGAAATTACACTTTTTCTCCTTTAGAATGAGCCTAGACTGATCTCAATTAATGAATTTGTTTCTGAGTTATGAGTATCACAAAAAAAGTCAAAAGGGACCGTTTTACCCCACTCTCCCTTATTTTCACGAAATTATCATGTTCATGTTCATACAACAATGAACAACAATGAATGTTTCATTTTCCAACAGATTATACAATTCTCCTGTCAGTGGCGACGTGTTCTTCCACTTGGGAATTATTCGGCAGAGCTAAAAAGGAGAAATTAGTGCATTTAGCAATTACGGGTATGTAAGATTGACATGGAGAAAGGGATTCAGAGAAATTCATTTAACAACCGTTAAAAAAATTTAGAGCCTACAAACACAGCTTTCTGATATTTTTCTCTGGGTTTGGAGATATTTTCAAGAGAAATTGGATAAAATGTTCGGAAATAGGGTGAAGAGGCAAATTGCTGGACAGTTAAAGAAAAATCGAGTTTCGTGGTAGGATCTAAAATAATTCCACACAATTCCACACCTTCAAGGAGATTTTAATTAGCAGAAAAAAATGATTTGAAGTGAAAATAACAAAACGAAGAATAATTAAATTAAGAAACAGTTGAATGCCCTGTGGAATATCCTGTGACCTTCCACTTAGTTAATAACATCATGCAGATGAACTTATTTATCGATTGCATGAAAATAAATTTTAATTCAAAAGATTGATTTATAGATCTGGATTGCCCACGGCTGCCTAAAGACGAAGGTATCAGTATTCCACTGATTGAGCCTGGGGAAGAGCTTCCCCAAATATTTTACGACATGAGAATATCCCGTGGTCTCGACTGGAAACGAGCCATTATGTTATTTGATGAGAGCTTCGGTAACAATTTTAAACATTTTAATTCAATAACCCTGGGATATGGGTTTGACAGTGATTGAATTATTTTGCATACTCCGTGAAAATTCACGACACAAAATTTGCCCCAGAGCAGGACTCCATCGGAAAAGTGGTGCAAGCTTTCTGCAACGAATTACCAAAATCTGATCTCGGATTAGCCTCGAGCTCTCTCTATTTTTTAAAACGTGGAAAATCGGAGATATCTACGAAACGGATAATTAAGGAAATTCTCGCAGCTTTACCTCCAAGGAAGCCCATTGACGATCATATCATTGTTGTGGCTGCTTACAACGTTATTTCGTTCATATTAGAGGCAGTGAGTAAAAATCAATTTGACACGGAGAAAATAATGAACGAAAAAATATTATGCAATCTAGATACTCGAAGTGTAAAATTGTATATTAGGAATTTTTATTTGATATTAACAATAAAAATGCAAGGTAAAGGGAATATCCCCCTTTGGGATGTGATTTTTGTAAATGAACAGTGAAATTTGTGCACTGAGAAAATAATAATTATTTTTTCTAGAGTTAGTTTCTTGGGAGAAGAATTAATTTTTTACTGACGTGCGAGTATTTCTCTAGCACTGTAATTATGTTGAATTATGGGATGATTATGCTACATATGATGTTGAATGAACCTCATTGACAATTATTGACATTCAGAATTACTCCAAGTGATTTTACGTAAGAAAATCTCAAATTTGAAAAAAAAAATGAAAAGGGTTCAGTCAAGGTCATATGCAGCGTAATTACCTCATAATTTAATATAATTATAGTATTTGGAGATGGACATGAATAGTGTATTTCGATACGAGTACGTAAAAGTTTTTTTTTGATCCATGGGAGGTGTGTAGCGCTCGCCAAGGCATGTGCTACTCTCCCAAGGGTCAAAGAACACTTTCTCAACGAAAATCGAACCCTATTTTTCATCATAATGTGTAGAAAGTGGCATTTTCCGCACGAGGAGCGTGCGTAAAATTTCTCTTTACACATAGGTGATAAAAAAAAGAAAAGTCTTCTCCCAAGAAAGTGATTCCTTGGTACAAGGAATTTTTTTTCTCAGCGCGAGTCACTGGTGCGAAAATTCCACGAAAGACGAATAAATTTACTGCATTTTGCTTCATTTTTTTTTTCTGTGTAGAATGCAGAAAAAAATAAGTAAAAATCTGTACTCAATTCATTACCCTCAGGCTAGATCATTGAGGATGCTCAGCACAGGCAGTCAGTGGCTCTTTGTTGTGCCAGACATGGCAAAGTACACCTCTGGGAACGTGACTTATTTGATTGAATTACTCGGCGAAGGTGAAAACATAGCTTTCTTGTATAATGACACCAATTTGAATATCAGGAGTGATCAATCCTGTCGAGTAAGTAATTAAGAAACTCTCATTTCCCCAGTGACGGTGGGTGACAATCGCGTCATGTGAAACTCTTGCGATGAAAATAAAATTACAAAACCGCGGAGAATTCACTTGACATATACTGAATCCCTAATCTACTAGAGTAGAATGATCCCTATCAAAATCAATAATATTCGTATTTTTTTGGGTGACGAAAACCGCTGAATTAGAACTAAAAAACTCTGCGAATTCGATAGAAAGTTCTATTAAAAATTATTTTAATTTTTAACCAATTTTATTGAAGAATTCCGCAACTTTTTCTATTTAGGCATTTTTTATAGAAATTCGATATGAATTTTCTAAGTTCTTTTCACACTATTTCTCTTCTCTTTTAAATCATAAAATTGAACAAAACAAGAATAAAAAATTGAAGCCGAAGAATTTCTATTGAAAATATCTCAATAGAATAAGTTGTTTAGAAAAATGGAATTCAGTTAATCCTTTTTATGGAATATTTTTCATTGGAATTTTCTATTTTTCAATAGAATCGGCCCCAAACCAATAGAAAGTTTAATGGAAATCGTGTACTTGCGGAATTCTCAAGCATTTTCGTCATTTTATTTTGTTGCGCACTTTTTCAACATTTGTAGTGAAATATGGGAACTTCTGCACGTGAGAAATTCACGTAAAAAATTCTGCAAGCACCGTAACTGTGAGACATAACATGGAGTTGAGAGAAAAATAGAGGAAAAAACTGAAAAGTGATGCTCTGCTCTGAAATTTCGTCATGTGGCACAGCAACTTTTTGACTGTCGTACGCTACGTTCTCGTGCCTTCTTATCACTTTCCACTGCTATTCTTCCTAAAATTTACGTTCATAGAGGTAGATTGTGACTGATACATGTCGTTACTTCTTCATGTAAATTTTTTACTTTCTCAAGTAAAATTTTCTCCGTGTATTCAAGAACTGTCCGACCCTAGGTCACCGAATATTTTATTACATGTGACGTTCACATGGAAAGGGCCTACTTTGTCGCATCTAGTTTTCGAGATACTCACGTTTTTCACTTCACAACTCTCTTTTAAACTAATGTTAAATTATTCTTTTGATCTTCTGTAGTAACGCTATTTCTCTAGCTGGAACCGTTAGAACATTATTTAGAAAATCTGAAACAATTACATCCTCTACTTTTCCTTGAGTATTTATAAAGTAGCTGAAAATTTCTAATTTTAGAAGATATTCTTTTCGAAATCGTCAGAGATCGATTCCATGCCGATGAAAATGTTTTCCAATTTTAAACAAATTCCATTGTTGATTTATAAGAAGAGTATTCAAAGAATAATAATTTTTTGGAAGTGTACACTAAATATTACCGGTTATACATAATTTTTTTCAATTTTTTTCTCACACAATCCAACGGATAAATGATTAAAAATCTTTAAATCTATCGTACGTAAATTTAAACAATTGGCTTAAAATTTGTTCTTGAAGACAGGTGCCACCTGTCACGTACGAGAGCTGGTCGGTGCCCTGGGAATAGCCCTTGAAAAATCATTATCAATGGAGATAGAGCTCTACAATCGTGTCACTGAGGAGGAATTCGAACAGGCGGGCACGACCAAGTTTGTTAGAAGTCGAAACTTCATAAAATATATTCGTGCAAGTATAATCAATAACTCTCCCTTATTAATTCACTGTTAGAATTTGAATTACATTCAAAATGAAGATATTTCTATGTCAATGTATAGAATAAAACGGGACGTAATTTTAAAAATACAAGTTTGTCAACTTTTTTTTGAAAATTCGGTATTATGAGCACCTAGGAATTGAAAAAAAAATTACTCAAAATATTCTTATAGATGGTAGAAAACCGACAATTTTGAGGTGTCATAAATTAAAATCGAATTGATAGAACCCGAGTTATTAAAAAAAAACAAAAACAAAGAAAAAATTGTCTTCGAAATGGACAATCGAAAAAATCTGAAAAAAACTGAGAGATAGTTTCTCTAGCCCCCCAATCGTACACGGAGAGAAATATTCAGTAAAAATTACGGAACAATTCATGTAATGCGCAATGGGGAATCGTTTTCCGGCAATTTTTATGGGAATGGGAGAGAAGAAATCTGAAAAGTTCAGTGAATTTTCAGGTTCATCACCGAACAAAATACGAAATTGTCACGCAATGTTTCCCGATGAAGTAAAATCTTACGGAAACGTCCCGACTTATTATGCCTCCAAAATCAAATTTATTGAACGTTCAACAAGTTTTATGAAGCTGGTGAGTTATTTCTACGTTCCGTTCCGTAAAATATCTCAATCGTTTGGGGAAAAATTACGGAACGACTTGCTGTCCCACAGCGGTGAGTCATCAGACGGGTAGTTAATTGTTACGGACCGAATCGTAGAATTTACGTGGCGATTCGTACAATTTCAGTTCCGACGCACACTTTTTATTGAATTTTACTTCGCTCGTGGATTACGTTTCGAAACGTAATTTTTACGTTTTTTTCTGGTAATTTTTATAGAATTTTTCTCTCTGTGTAGAAAAAATCGAGATCAATTTCCAAAATGGTGAGGGTTCGTACAATTTTAGTTCCGGCTCAAACTTTTTATTGAATTTTACTTCACTCGCGGATTACGTTTCGAAACGTAATTTTAACGTTTTTTTTCTGGTAATTTTTATAGAATTTTTCTCTCTGTAGAAAAAATCGATATCAATTTCCAAAATGGTGAGGGTTAGCCGTTGACTCATTTGACATGGAATACCTTATATAAAGTTAATGTCAATTCTAATTGACTAAAGTCGTTATTCAAACTGAGGCCTCTGCTGGACCAATAGAATTCAGAAACCCCGGAACATAACTACTGTATTGGATAAATACCGCAGAGTGCACTCGTGTAGGAATAATAATTTAAAAAAAATTGCGGTGGGGTGATGAGTAACCCCGGTGTATCCTTGGTTAAAAATCAAACTTCATCGTACTCCAGGATGAACTTTACAATGATACAAAGCCCGGCGGTCGTGGAGGCACCTGTGGCCGATGTATAAAGTGGACCGTAGTGTCAGCCTTGACCTGGGGCAATCGGATTGGCTCAGAGGCTGATATCGAGCCTCACACACTCTTGGGGACCGGTGTGTGGACACCTGATCCCGGTTACGAGTCAAAGGACTATCTGTTCCCCCACGTGATGCACGGCTTTCGTGGCAAGACTCTGCCCGTAGTAACTTATCACGTAAGTTTACTTTTTCACATGAGAGCGGTCTCATAAATTTCAGAGGTTTCACTTGTAGAATCCACCGTGGCAGTTTCAAATGACGAAAACTGAGGAAATCACCGAGAGTACGAAGGCTCAATGGGATGGATTTGTCTTTGATGTTTTTCATGAGCTTTCTAAGAGCCTCAATTTTACGTATAAAATCGTCGCTGTGGAGACTCCGCCTGAGATTAATCTGGTGAAGAGTGTAAGATCAGTCTATGAATCGATCGATAATGAATATTATTTCTCATTTTTTGAATTAGCGTTAATTCCTCATTCACGATATTCCTCTGTTTTCATAGCTCATTAATCCACAGCTAACGAAAATAACCGGGAATTACTAACGAAATAATACATGAGTGGAACATCTAAGAGATTGGATGAATTACGAATCGATTGAACTGTTATAATTTTTTGAAGATCGAAGTAAACTGTTAAAAATTTTTGTCCGCATTTTCCGTGCCAAATTCCGGAAATTTTTATCGTGTTCGAGTTCCACTGAAATTTCAGGAAATCTTGTCATTGGAAAAGCAAATATTTCATTGATTTTCTGTTCAAATGATCTGGAAATCAATAAAAAAACTTGATTTTTCAGTTCAATTATTCTGTAAAAATCCAGAAAAATCAGGAAAATTCAGGGAGAAATGGAAAATTTATGTCATTTTGTTTCTGAATATTCATGTTCCATTGAAAATTCAATCAAGTTGTGAAATTTCCATCTCACTTTCCCTGAAACCTCATGAATTTCGGATTCAATGTCACTCTCATGAGATTTACTATAATATCCATGAAATTTCAAAAAATTTCTAACAGTGTAATAGTTGTATGTAAATTTTCAACTTAGTGAATTCGATTTCAATTTGAAATAAAATCATCTATGGAATTTTTTTCATCATCTCGGGAATTCATCAATATTTAGTTTGTTAAATCAAGCGATAATTGATATTCCAATGATAGCTTGAATTTTCATATTTTTTCATCAGTTTCAATGTCATTTCAATGTCACCGATTAGTTGTAAATTTTTTTTTTGTTTAAAATTTGAAGAGTAATTTTTTTATTGAAATAAGCTGAAAAAGCTGTCGTATAGAATATGAATAAGGGTCGATAATAAACAATTCTGACAGTACATTTAGAGATCCGTGATTATGCAACATTTCAGAATCCACTGAAAGCTGCAATGTCAGCAGCCGAAAAAGTCCCAGAAAAAGTGACGGAACTAGTGCGTTCGAAATCAGTCTTCATAGCAGCATGTGCTTATACAGTTGGAGTTTATCGTAAAGATACAACCATAAAGTTCACACTTCCTATGACAATTCAAACGTACGGTTTACTGGCACCACGACCCAAGCCGTTATCCAGGGTGCTTTTATTCGCCTCACCGTACACCAACGAAGTGAGTGGATATGAATTATCATGAAAATTTCAAGTGTTCGGGAAGCACTGATTGTAATTGAGGGAATTATTTCTAAACGTGTATTTTTTTTTGTAAATCCTGGGTAATCGAGTGCATTTTTCTTCACGATTTTTTTACTTTCTCAATAATTTTCCCTGAATTTTACTTCCAGATGGAAGTATTGCGTTCGACACATCCGAAATTTTCTATTTTTTGAGTGATCATAACTAATTTTGGCCTCCGGAGTTCGAGTATGTGTGTATGTGACCGATTGTTTTTCGCCGATAATTGAAAAAATAATTGTGCAAATGAATTCAATTGTGATTTAATATATTCTTCCGAATACTATCTTGACCGAGTTCGATCACAAGATTGATTATATCATCTGTTGTTGGAAAAATTCATTTTGAGCAAAAATATATTGACTATTAGCTGTTCGGCCCGGCTTCGCCCAGCCAGAATAAGAGAAAATTGAATACCAGGATTTTTGAGAATTCCTACAATAAAAAAAACATCTCAATGTTTCCGACTTTTCTAAAACACCCGAGAATTTTTTCAATTTCTTTGGAAAACCCTCAAATTTTCTTCACTTCTCGAGTTTTCTAGAAAAGTTGAAAACATTGAGGTGTTTTTTTTTAATTGCAGGAATTCCCAAAAATCTTGGTATTCAATTTTCTCTTATTTTCCCCAGGCGAAAACGGACCACACAGCTAGTCAATCAGAATTTGAAATTAAATTGCTCAAAGGGAACAAAAAAAATTTTTTCCAGAAAACCGGGGAATTCCTTCAAATTTTCTATAAAATTCAAGAGTTCTTTCAAATTTTCTATGAAACCAAAAAATTTTCTCAAATTTTTGTAAAACTAAAAATGTTCTCGAATTTTTTCCAAAACCGAAGAATTTCTTTGAATTGTTTAGAAAACCCGAGAATTTCCTGGAATTTTCTGTAAAACCAAAGGATTTTCTCAAACTGTCTATAAAACCCGAGAATATCCTTAAACTTTGTAGAAATCTCAAAAATATTCTCGAAAACTCCAGAAAGCTTTAGAATTTTTTAGAAGTTTCTATAGTGCCTAATAACTATGCACGGTAGCACAACTATGAAATAGTAGAAATACTATTGAAATCTATTCTCTCGTTTTTGCGTAAATCGCGGCCGAACAATGGGCAACAGATTATTTTTATGATATTTAAGAAGATGCTGCGACGAAAACAATTTTCCTCTTGTTTTTCTCGCTCCGCAGTCATGGGCCCTCCTGACGACCGCAATAATCATCGTGGGTCCCATACTCTACCTAGTTCACACCTTCAGCCCGCGAACGATCGACGAAGCAGTGAAAAATCCTCAGGAGCCGGTCTACATCGGTCTGAGTTCACCATCGAGATGCACGTGGTATATTTACGGTGCCCTCCTCCAGCAGGGTGGCATGAACCTTCCCAAGACCGATGGGGCTCGATTGATCGTTGGCACGTGGTGGCTAGTCGTAATGGTAGTCGTTGCCACCTACTCCGGCAGTCTCGTAGCATTCCTCACGTTTCCAAAGATGGAAGCGCCCATAAAGAATGTCGACGACGTCATCGAGCGTCGAGGTGAAATCACCTGGAGTCTCCCCCAGGACAGTTTCATCGAGGATTTCCTCACCGTCAGCAATGAAGAGGGACTCGTTGATTACAAGAGACTTCTGCGAGGGAACGAACCACACGCACAGACGCATGATACAGTGAGTTATGAGGATAATATTCATGATGTCAAAGGTGGAAAACATGTGGTGATCGACTGGAAGTCCTCATTGATGATTTCCGGGAGGAACGATTACATTGAAACTGGCCGCTGTGCTTTCTCTCTTGGAACCGATGTTCTATTCCTCGAGGAACCTATTTCCATGGTTGTACCGACTGATAGTCCTTATCTCGGACTCATTAATGTCCAGTGAGTAGTAAATCAATATGTAACAATCTTCATCAAAATGGATGTTTTTGCTCTCAATTTATGTCAAATACGGAGATTTTACTTGACTTTTATTTATACTAAAATCAAGTCTTATTTCGTGAAATGGAACTTTTATATAATTAACTCATTAATAATCAGTTCAAGGGATAGACTTGAACCAAAGACTTTTTCTTAAAAAACTGATTCTTAGCGGTAAGGAAACGTTTTATCCCATTTTTGTAAATCATTCGTTTACAACATGAATGCATAACATTTTCAGAAATATTACTTAATAATGATAATGATCAATTGAAGCGTAAATGTACACTAAGTTTAACAGTATATTTATTTATGAGAAGAAAATGATTTGAAAAATACTCCTATTTTGCAAAATATAATTCAGTAGCGAAGTGGTAAAACAGTTTAAGTCGACTCATCCCCCAGTTGAGTTTTTGAGGTATATTTCCGAATCTAAGGGAGATACCGAAATTCTCGTAATTACATTTGTTGTAGCTCTCAATCGGCTCTACATAAACAGTTTTAACAAAAATTTGGCTATCTCCCTTCGATTCCGAGATATTCATTGAAACCTGGCCAATAGTCAAAATTAACTTGTACCGTTTTACCACTTCGCTACCGAATTATAATTTTCTTTAAAATTACAGAATTTTCTCGAATTTTCTAGGAAAATCTAGAATTTTCCAGAATTTCGACAAATGGCGCTGACCGTTAGGGGTAACTCCGCGAATGACCCCCAACATGAAATGAAACTTGCCCTCTACTTTAAAAAGAGAGAGGATATAGCCAATCAAAGGAATAAAATAGAATAGAACATGAAATTAAAGAGCTGTCCACGTCAAAAGTAGAAGTTGAATTATTAAGATTAATCACAGACGAGAATTACTACTAATAAGTTCCAATCAATGATCCTCTTGTGGAAGACGAGGCGCTCGGTGGAGCCGGCGATTTACAGACGAACGAAGAGTCGGAAACGTTCAAAGGCAAAAATATCATTAGTTAACAGCGCGAACTCCCCCACCCCCAATGGTTCCAAACTAAAATAGACGGGAATTACATCCCAAAATGGTACAATTATGTTATAGATTACAAAGGATGCACGAATCAGGATTGATGGACAAGTGGATAGCCAACAGATTTCCAACGCAGGACAGTTGTTCAGACAGCCTAATGGGTGGTTTCGAAGCAGCCAATCATAAAGTAGATCTCGAGGACATGCAGGGAATATTCTTCATTCTCATTCTGGGATACATCATGGGAACAGTGATCCTCGGTTATGAATTTTTCCGACAACATCGACAACTCGCCAAAGAACGAAAAGTGATTCAACCATTTGTCCAGTAGTGTAATCACACTGAGAGAAAATAGTATTTTAATTACACCCATGGAAAACATCATTCACCACGAGTTCTGTACAATTTTTCTTGTCACTGCGGCTATGTGTGGTGTCTGTATGACTGGTGATCAATTGTAATTTGTAATTCTTATTATTAATACTTCTTTTTTCCCTAATTAGTACTTAGTGCAGGATCTTACATTTTCCATTTGAAATGGAGAATTAAAAATTGAAAGTTAAAAGTTTCGAAGATTTAAGGAGGACGAAAATTATTTCTGCTGTATCGAGTTTGAAATCTATTTTTCTTGTTGTTCAATTGTTTGAATATATCTTCGCGGATTTACAATTCTCCCATGTGTTTGTCGTTATCGATCAGCCACCAGTATTTTTTATTACCTTTGAGAAGTCTTCTATGTCCGACGACGCCACTCAAAGATATGATACGGTATTACTATTATAAGTTCGATATAAGTTACATGGGAGTCACTTTTTCTGTCATGTTTTTTGCTCCTAGAAAATCTTCTTTTCTCTCAGTGCAGTCACCTACCATTTGTTCAAGGAAATATAAATAAACATAGATCTCTGCAGAATTATGACTAGGACGTAACAATGGTTAAAGCCTACCTCGAAGCACATCGTATTTAAATCTTCGAGCTAATGCGTCAGATTGCTGTAATTCGCGAGCCAAACAAACAGCGCGTGCGAATTGAACAGTCCCGGGTAAAAGCCAAACGAAATATTACATAACATTGAAGCATTAACTTCTCAGGTAACTCAAGCGTCTACTGCACCATTCTCCCACCCTCGTTCGATCTGTCACCTCCCCCTTTGCACCTCTTCTACTCCATCGCCTTCATTTTCAACTTCCTAATGAATGAAAAGTCCTTTAGTCTCTGTTATATTCGACGAGAGTTAACCATTGGATTCCGTGACGCCCCGTTCTGCGATTACATTGGAAGATCGAATATAATGAACGTGTGGTTTGCGATTACTCTGTTACGTGAGTTTATAAATAATTAATCAGTTACCAATTGTGAGTTCACCAGAAGAAAGCTAAATCGGTTCGGTTCCGATAGCCCTTTCCATTTGAGAAATTTCAATTTTGCTCATTGAAATCAACACATGATTCAAGATTCAATCAACAGATCTGTTTATGGCGAAATATATTTGAGTTTTTGAAGATTATGGAGTATTTGTCGACAAAAAGTGTCCGATAATCCAGTGCCTTGGAGGATGGAAAAGGTCTGCTGAGAATATTATGGCGGGCACTTTACGCCAACAATTGAAATTCGATTATATCTTGAGCAATTTTTCTTCCCAAACGTGCAGTCCCTTTTACTCCAATAAAATGTTGATATTTTATAGCAATTTTGTTATGCAGACCACATTCGTATAGCATGAAAAATAGCTCACGAAATTTCAAATTTTTCTCTCCTTTTTTAAAGAAAAAAAATTGATAAGAAAATTCCTGAAGAATTCGATTTTAAAATGAACTCAAATTCACCACCTAAGGATAGAGCCAATCAAATTTCTTTGACTCAAATGTTCCAAGTTGTTGATTTGATTAAAGAATAAAAAGATGAGAAAGATAGAGGGGAAAAACCTTGGAAAATTAATGTAGCGGAATTCCCCCGAAAAATATCTCAATAGAACGAGTTGCCGAGAAAGTCAAGATTTCCGAAATTTTTCCGTGAAATTTTTGCGTGCGTGTTACTATTCGTTGTCTTAAAGGATATCCATCAGTGATTTGAAATTGTATGGACGGATTCAACTTGTAAAAGCCTCCCTCGTCCCGCCATAATCTCCGAACTAAAAAATTTTCCACAGTTCCAAATGTGGGAAACGGGATGCCCTGGAGACCCTCCCTGGGTCCACCCCCGAGGCCCCCGGGTCCCCCGGTAGCCGTCATGACAGACGTTATAAACGACCTAGGTGTTAGCCTCCTGGATTGCTACATGGAGCAACCGGGTAACATTGCCTTCTCCCCAACGGGACTGGCGTTCGTCCTGACGGCCTTGTACGAGGGTTCAGCGGGTCGCACATCGAGACAAATAGCCCAAGTATTAGCACTGCCCCGGGACCGTCGTGTCACCGAGATTGGACTCCGTGACATTCACCGTAGGCTGCGAGTAAGCGAGTTCATTTCCTCCAAGTGCTTTGAAAAACTCAAACAAACGCCTTTCCTTTACTCTTCTTTTTATTCTCCATCTCAAAGCAGTGAACAATTTCATTTTATTACTCATTCGCTTTCACTTTTAAGAGCTACCTAAACGCCGACGCCTTTCTCGGTGGCCTCACTCTGAATCGCGACGATATCGTATTAAGACCGGAGTACGAGGACACCCTGAGGTTTTACGGTTTTGACGTGGGTGATCAGAATAATACGACTGAGACTGGGAATGTCACTACTGTTATGACGACGGCAGCAGTTGCGGGGCAGATGAGCGATGACGGAAGTACAACCCCTGGACCGATGCTGATGGCAGGAGTAACAGACTCGACGGCTTCGACGTCATCTCAGATGATGGTGACAGCGCCGATGCCCGCGGTGACGTCTAATGCGACCGCTTCCGTGGACTTGACCACCAATCCCATGGCGGAATCGATCACAACAAGTCCTGGAACTGCTTCCGGGATGTCTGATGGTACCGTAAACGCGATGATCGCTGCCATCTCCTCTGTCAATGGGACCGCGGGGTCCCTGACGACAGCATCCACGGCTTCAACTGCTGTAAATATGGAAAGTAGCAGTGATTCTACGACGAATAGTACTGGGGCTGTTAATGCTGCTACTGTGACCCCTGCCAGCACTGTTCCTGTGGGTTCGACTCCTTCAGGTGCATTGGGCAATGATTCTGGGATGAATAACTCTCAAATAGTCGTAAACGTGACGGACACAACAACAACTGTCGTCACAGTAGCGAGTGGACAGGGCATGAATAATTCAGCTGGAAATAATTCTGATGCTGGTAATGCACGATCTGTTGGCGGAACGAGTACCAGTAATTTGAATAGCACGGGTAATTCGACGATCAATGACACTGAGGGGAGTTCAGGTAATTCAACCGTTGAAATTGTGACAGAAGCCTTCGCGCTTGTTGATGGGAATGAGGGGATGAATCAGTCGATGGGAATGGTCACTAATGATGAGAATAGAATTAGGAAGAGGAGCATTGGACATCAGAGGTTTACGAATTATCCAGGTGATTTAATGTCGTGCTTGTGTTATTGGGTTCAATGTTTCGGCTGTGTCAAGGGTTTATTTTGTTGAAGGAGACGGCATTTGGATTGACGACGCGAACGGATGGCTCGGGTACAATCCCTCGGGAACGTTGGACGACTCGATTATTAACGAGGATATGACGGATCTGCAGTTTCTCGTCAACGGGTGTGATCCGTCGACAATATCCACTGCCACTTATACAGCTGCTCTGCCCTTCGCCTACATTCCCTCTCTCCGGGCATTCGGTGTTGAATTTCCACTCGATGTTGGTGTTATCTTACTTCTGTTCCCACGTAATTGGGAGGTGGTATGGTCATGAGTGTATTCTGGTGAACAATCGAGGGTTGGTTTGGGTGGAAAATGATATCAGCGCGCAGCAAAAATGAATGTCTGAATTTCACAGACCTTTTGTAGACATTTTTCAGGCAGTAAAAAACGTCTGAATAAAATGATAATGTGTCTGAATTTCATACGAACAGGTGTCCAAACGTCTGAATTCATTTTTGAAGTTCAGACAAATTTTCATTTTATTTAAATGTTTTTTAGGGTCTGAAGAATGTCTACAAAAGTGTTTGAAGTGTTTGATGACGAATTAAATATTAAAAAATATAAATTTATAAATTTTCTATTAACCAGATAATACGAAATTTCTTATAAGGGATTTCCGATTATCCAAATAGTCGTCAATCTTCCTAACTCAGTTACTGATTAATGAATAATTCAAAATTCGACTATTTAAATTGATGATTACTTCAATAATTAAAATTTAAAAGTGATATCAGCTAATTGACAACTTGGTAATTTAACAGTAATTATAATTTATAGATATGGCGTGCGGCACGGCGCTCATAGCGGGACCAACGGAGTGTTAATATTGCAATATTTTAACCAGGGAAAAATGTAGCGAATTCGATTGAAAACTCTTTTGGCCGATTGTGTTGACGAATTCGGCCGCTTCGGTAAACATTTTTTTTATTTCAAAAATTCCGATAGAAACTATTATTTCGAAGAAACCCCGTAAAATTTCATCTTTCTACTCAACTTTTTCTTTTGAGACATTTTCTATAGAAATTCCAACATGAATTCTATTTTCATTGAGAAAACCAAACAAAAAAAAATTAGAAAATTGAATCCGTAAAATTTCTATAGAGGATATCTCAGTAGAATTAGTTGTTCTATCGAACATTTCTGTTGAAGAAAAAACACGCAGATAAGCTGCGGAATGTCCCAATAGAATTTCTTATCGAATTCGCTGAGTTTCTCTATTTTTTTTATTCGTCAGAACATGACAATGTTTGAGATGTGAATTACCAGAAATTAATAAATTAACTTTTATGAAAATTTGATTGACGGATTTGGTAATTGAAAAACACGAAAATTATGGAGTGCTTCCGCCGAAACTGTAAATGATACTTTAATCTTCAATTTCAAAAATTGTTGGCATTTTGATTACAACGTAGCCTAATCAATGATTGACCCTAATTCTAGTTCTAATCCTACATCGCTTCGACCCGGTTAGGGTATACTGCGGTGATGACCAAGACTTTAAATGGTTAGATCGCACCATTCTACCCGGCCGGGATTTGAACTCGGAACCTTTCGCATGTGAGGCAACGAACTTACCCATTGCGCCAAGCCACCGGGACCCTCATTAACTAGAATTGCGAAGTGACCATGCTACACCAAGCCACCCCTGAACTACCATTCAGTTGATATTAGTAATGTGATTCAAGGATCCAAGATACAATGTGATCCTGCTAGTCCCCACCGAAGGAGTCACCAGTCGACTTCTGGTGAGGCTTCTCCACGGGAAGACTCTGAGGCACATCAGGGCGTCGATGAGGCCCACGTGGGTCAGAGCTACGATTCCCTCCTTCATGCTCCGAGGCTTCATCACACTGACCCCTTACCTCCAAAAACTAGGGATTCGAGATGCGTTCGAGCCGAGAGCCGCGGATTTGACCCCCATGAGCCCAGACCTGGGGATCTACGCGAGGGACGTGCAGCAGAGTATCGGCGTAAACATCAGAAACTACATGAGAGATAGAAACGATAGCACAACCACCTCCACCAGAAGTCCTTATCAACGGCCAGGTAAAAAACAAATCTTGCACACATAAAAATAAACTTCTCTATTCAAGGACATTTTTTTACATCAACCACGGACGGCTACTCACTCCCGAAATCACGGCCCCATTCTGGCCTGAAATCATTCCGAAATCACTGAAATCAAGTGATTTCAGCTCCCGAAATCATTTTCGAAATGATCTCCAAAATCGCGTGAAATAGTCTGAACTCGATGAAATCTCGTGACGCTCGAAATCACCGAAATCATTGGTTCCGAAATCACTGAAATCACTCCTGAAATCACTCGAAATCGACTTCATTTCGAAATCATGGTGTCACTTAATTATGGACTGAGTAGCCCCTCGATCAATCACCCCCGATCGATTGATAAGTTTCGAAAGATATGTAAACTTCTCTCTGTAAAACATATTTTTATCCTGAAAAATATTTCGTTGTTGTTGAGAGCAGAACAATTATGATATCCACTAAAAACCAGTATTTTTTCACGGCATTACATTTCGCTCCACGATTACCATCCGTATAGTAAAATTTGTCACGATTTTCGAGGTAATTTTTATCCAACTTTTCTCTCTCGCGCATAAAAATGTGCTTCATACTCGAGTGTAAACATAGAGTGAAAAATGTAAGATTAATTTTGGCCTCGTATTATTTTAACCAGAAATTCAAGAATTATTAATCCCAGTTTAGTCTACGCGATTCTGCGGTTGGTCAGTTCCGCGGGGATTCCCCGCCGTGTTATTTAGGCTCTAGCGGTGCCTAATTCACTCTGCGCTGCCCGGGCACGTTTAGCGAGCTTCCGGTAACGTCGCGGGCCGGGCAATTTCATTTAACATGCACTGAGAAAAAAAAATATCAGAATGTATAGACCATATTTACCTGAGAAAAGTATATTACTTTCAATTGCTTTAATCCCAGAATGTTTGCGCTTCACAGAAGTCGAATAAAATCTCATCCATCACTATCGTTCCTGGAAAATATTTCGTTGTTGTTGAGAGCAGAACAATTATTCATGTTTGAGACGTTCAAATTTGAATTAAATAGTCCGATAGTGAAGCGGTAAAGGATTACATTGACTTCACCCTCAGTTGAGTTTTCGAGGAATATCTCCGAATCTAAGGGAGACAATGAAATTTTCGTAATGACCTTCTTAACTAGCCACCGATACACTCTACAAAAAACAATTGTGACACAAATTTTATTATCTCCCTTAGATTTCGAGATATTCATTGAAATGTGGCCAATAGTCAAAATCTGAATTTCTTTTTTGGCAATTTTCGCGTTTGGAAATTTTTTTCTCTATTATAGAAAAATTCCAATACATTGAGTAATTATTGACGCTCACGGGCGTGATTTTTTAGTGGAATTCCGGGTAAATTTCACAGTTTCAGGATAAATTACCCTCAATTCAGGAAATTTCCCCGCATATTTCCCCCCATATAACATGAAGAAGACCTGGCAATTAATTCTTCTCCACGATCATTTGATTTTTTGGTCATGGTTCCTCAACATTACTCTCCCCACAGGAACTGTGCAAAATAATTCTTGGTTGTTCATTGAGAGGAACAACTCGAGATAAACATTTAGCAACTTGTCATTGTTTCCCGCAATTTGCCACGATCTAAAGAATTTTCTCAGTATTGTCGTAAAACTCTTGGCATTTAACGGTCGATATCCTGTCACTGAGTCACAGCATAGACCACCAGGATACAAAAAGTAGGAAGACCTTGTCTCAATGATGAAGCATTACGAGGACACAAAAGCCGAGTGAATCCCTCCTGGAATTCAATTGGTCTGTTGTCCCTAATGAGGATTCCCAGGTGTATTTCGACACCTCTTGGTCATTAGCATGGCGCTGAATCAATTTCATTGAATCGCCGTTACCGTTATAATTGATTAATTCCCTCGTTCATTTAATTCATCTTTTTTTCAGAGAATTATCTGCATACCAGGGAACCAATTCCATTCACTGTCGATCGTCCCTTTCTATTTTTTATTGTTGACACTGAGACCTCTGTGGCACTCATCGCGGGGAGAATCGATGATCCCCTCAACTCCAGGATCGTCTGAGTGCCAGGAAGGCATGGGGGCGGGAGAAGGGGGTGAATGAATAAAAGTATGTAGACATTTTGTTTTTTATTCTAAGACCATTGAAAAATTATCAACAAACTATTATATATTGGCTATTTGTTGTTTTCTAGAATTATTTGTATACAAAAAAGGGGAATCGAGGAGGCAAGACACCGGCTACCTCGTGGTATTCATCAGGGAGATGTATTCTTTCGTCACAATTCGCGGAAATTATCCTTTTCTCTTTTGTTCACTAGCTTTGGCGTTCATTCGCGTTTTTTCTTTTCATTCGCTGCAACAAACTCATTCATTCGAATACACTCTCAGAGACACGAAAATAAAGAATTGATTCTTAACAACTACGCGAATATATTATGAATCATCGTGATTTGTTTGTTTTTATTTATCTCCACTCGATTGATCGTTAAGTGCTAAATATATTTCTATACGCATTAATGATTTGTTCTCTCTATTGTTCATCGTTTTATGTATAATGAGTGTCTGTACAGCCGAACGGGAGTTTGATTCTTGGATTCTCCTTGGAGTGGTTATTTTAATAGTCTCAGGTGACGTTCTTCAGTATCCAGGGTACAAACTTTGAGATTCTCGTGCAAACACCCGGTAGATTAGCCTCGGCACAGCCGATTCCCCAGGATATTATTCCAGCGAGAAAGTAACGACCATCTTTACCACGCACCTGGAGAGGACCACCAGAGTCACCCTGCAATGGTGAATAATCTATGAATCAATCTATCATAGTAAGATTATTATTGGAAATAGGATAATTCAAGTAACCTTTTATTTAATACTTTATTTAATACGCTCGCACGGAGAGAAATGTTCAGTAAAAATTACGGAACTCACAGGTCGCTCACTGATTACGGAATCGACTCAGAAAATTTAAGTGACGGTATCGTAATTTTTCACAGGAGATTCAGGTAAAAATTACGGAACGCTCTGGAAAAATTCCGTGACAGTTCCGTAAAATTTCTTACAGCCGCATTTCGCTCCGGAATTACGGAAAAGATACGTAATTTCTGTTGAATATTTCTCTCCGTGCGGAAGACACATCTGCTCTTTACCAATGACAAATATATTTTTTCATCACGCTGTGACGAAAAGTGAACTTTTCGGCACGCTCCGCGTGCCTAAAAGTCCAATTTCCGCCACATTGTGATGAAAAATATTGTTCGTAACTCGTGAAAAAATGTTTTTTAAAAAACACTTTTTTGCACTCGTTACGAAATATACTATTTCAATCATTTCCTAGATTCTTCTTCGTCATTTATTGATCACCCTTTCAATCTCTTCGTATCCTTTGGTATCATTTCGCCATAAAATTCAAAAGATTCGTCAAGTCATTTAGAAAGCTAGAGAAAGAGAAAGAGGGAGAGTGAAACAGGAGAGAAAAAAACAAAAATGAAAACGTTATTGAAGTGAGAAGGAAATTAAAACGGAAGAAAAATTAAAACTTCAAGATATTTTCCGTTGAAGACAATTTCCCTAGACCCTCCCCTGCCGGTGTGGGAAATTTGACTAAACAGGAGGATAATTTTTGCATCCATAAATGTATTTTTTACCTAGAAAATCGTAAGATATCCACTAAAGACCAGTATTTTTTCACGAAATTACGTTTCCCTCCACGACTATCATTCGTATAGTAAAATTTATCACGATTTTCGAGGTAATTTTCATCCAACTTTTCTCTCTCGTGCATAAAAATGTTCTTCATACCCGAGTGTAAACATAGAGAGAAAAATGTAAGATCAATTTTGGCCTCGTATTATTCCAACCAGAAATTCAAGAATTATTAATCCTAGTTTAGTCACTATACGCGACCCTGCGACTTGGTCACCTCCGCGGGGATTCCCCGCCGTGTTATTTAGGCTCTAGCGGTGCCTAATTCACTCTACGCTGCCCGGGCACGTTTAGCGAGCTTCCGGCAACGTCGCGGGCCGGGCAATTTCATTTAACATGCACTGAGAGAGAAATTTCATAATGTATAGACCATATTTACCAGAGAAAGGTATATTACTTTCAATTGCTTAAATCTCCGACTGTTTGCGCTTCACAGAAGTTGAATAAAGTCTCCTTCATCATTATCGTTCCGCGTTATATCATGAATATATTATACATCGAAAATCTGAAAGTGAAAATTGACGATTCTTCTACGCGATTTGAGTGTGTTCGATACATTTTATTATAAAGTAGGAATTAAAATTTTTATGAATTCACTCACGAAGTTTTCGTGTGAAAAGAAAAAATCGAAAGACGACGGGGATTCCCCGATTGTGCAGCCACTTAGGGTATGTATATCCTAATACAACCGGACCCAAAAGTTAGTCCCTATGGACTTCCGGAAAAAATTCCAAATAATTTAATTTATTGAATCCTCATAAGCTATTGAGTTTATCTATTCTCATGTGTTGTTGATGCAGGCACCAATAACTGTCTGAATCAAATAAAAAATTATTTGTTAATTAATTGTTTGAATCAAGTAAGGAATGTTTTCACGAAATTTCCATTTTTTAGAGTTGAATATCGCAGAAACTGTGTAGTACAAAATCTTACCAAAAAAATCACCGTATTCGTAATTTATCAATTCATCACGGATTAGTTTTTTAAGAACATCGTAAGAACCGGTTTCTCATAAGATGAAAAAATTGACTTTGGGGGACCCATAACCCCCATTTAGTCTATGCCTTGCATGTTAAAAGCCCGGATTTAATTATTTATTATCTCCTAAACTGTGTAGTACAGCTAGTTAGCATTTTTTTCAATAGTTAGGGACTATTATAAACATTATCTATGAAAAACATGGGGACAATCTTGAAAAAAACGTCTTTTCTAGGGATATACCTCAGTGTCTCGTAAAGGACGTTTACTTCACGCGAGTATATTCAGCAAGAGACGAGAGACATTTACAATTTTTATATATATCACTGGTTTTCTCTAACATAAAACATTCAATACCCATTAAAGAAATGTACAGCGTAATATAGCACAGCCTGACACAGAATATTTAAAATATATGAATATAATATAACTTGTCAAAATAGATCATTGACAGAAAACCTCCACTCAATTTTTCTTCCTAGAGGATTAGAATGATACTTCAATTCGACAATTCCTTACCTGGCACGAGTCCCGTCCTCCATTCTCATACCCAGCGCACAAAAATATATCGGGTATAAATTCATGTCTACCAGCTCTCAAGAACATTGACTTACATCTGTCATTACTCACAATAGGAACAGATACCTGCAAAGGAATCAATGGTAAATTGTCAATATACCACAAATGATACTTGCGATATGTATCTAAACAATGAAATAATCATGAAGTCGACTCACTTCCTGAAGTACCGAGGGCAATGTACCTCCTTCACTGAGTCTCCCCCACCCAGTGACAGTGGCATTTTCACCAACAAGAAGATCATCAGTCGCTGGTAAACATATTGGTGATATGTGAGGAGCAAAAACAAGGGAACTCTCAAGTCTCACAAGAGCAAGATCGTATTCGTAAGTGAAGAAATTGTATTTGGGATGTACGACCTTCTTAGCAATACCTCTTTCTACGTAAGGCAAGCGCTCCTGTACAGATGAGAAATCGTAATCACCAACCCGGATCCTAATCTGCGAGGTCAGTAAACTGAAAATGAAGGAGTAGAGAAAACAAAATAGAGGGAAAAAAAATTGCCAGATGTAATGCATTGAATTTTTCATCTCTCTCGAGATGTTTAAACTTTTCATTTCCTTATTTGTAATGAGAGATGCCTACTCACTCGTCGACGCAGTGTCCTGCAGTTGCGATCCAGTTCTCATTTAGTACAGCACCACCACATCTGTGGGTGCTTGAAAAACCAAAGAATGATGTACGTCTGACTGATACCTGCCATGGCCACCTGCCAAATGGCGCTGCTTTTCCACCGACTATTCTTGTCTCAGGACGTGGAAATAATGGTGGCACACCGCATTGGGCCCGTTCCTTTCCATTTTCTGAATGAGCAGGTACTGCCGAGACCGTTGGAACCGAGCCCAGTGGATTTTTCTTGGTTGTCGCTTGTTCCGTTGTCGTTGTTGTTGACATTGTCGTTGACACTGTTGGTGGGGCGACAGTTGGTGTTGTCGTCTTCGGTGTCGACGGGGTTGTCCTCATCACTGTTGTCATCGACGTCGATGGTAACTCTTGATTATTCATCGGATATATCGTTGTTGCTACAACTCTTGGGGGCTGCGGTGTTCTTCTTCTCGTTGGTTTCGGTCGTGTCAATGATCCAACATCCGCAGTCGTAATGTAATGACTCGACGGGATATAATGAGGTTTGCCATATTCTGGTTTGTTCTAAATACGAGAGAAAACGGATCTTTGAGAAAGCGTTAGCCTGCTACATTTGATGGAAAAAAAGTACGTAACGTGTTACGCGTGAAGACAAGAGGATGAGGCAAAAAAGGTAATGCAAGAGTTTGATTGAGCGGGAATAGAGTTGGCGTGTTGGGTGAAAAAAAGTTATTGTGGATTCAGTGGTGGGAAAAAAAAAACAGTCAATTGGATTTGTGTTGGGAATTGGAAAGTATTGGATCGATCGAGCGTTGCGAACTACATGATTTTCACGGTTTAATCGATACACCGGCTGTCGGACTGTGGAACAAGAGGGTCAATGAAATGACATGAATGAAGAGACTGGACAAAAAAAAATAATAATAAAAACCATGACAACTCACTTGCTGATTCTCATTGCCTGGATGTTTGTCTGAATACTTTTTATTAGTTTCATCTGTATCGCGTTCGTCACTCGGTGGCTGGGTCCACGTATTGTCGCCCCAAAAGTTGATGATAGAGTAGCCGGGACGATTTGAGGACGAGTGACTGGGATTTTTGTGCTTTGTGACGAATGCAGGCTCTGTCGTTACGTGCCAGTGAGTTGTTTGCCCGAGGGAGGATTCCGTTGAAGTACTAAAAATTTATTTTATCGATTTTCCATTGGTTACTAATTAATTCGATACCTCAGTGCATCGTTAAATCACCTGAACTGATCTATGATACATTACTTCCACTCTTTATGCCAGTTTTACTCTAATTAACTGTGGGAAAATATTTTTTTTCATTCACACCTGAAGTGGGGGAAAAAATGCTGTTTTATAACTTGTAAATGGCTTCGACACAGCCATTACTGGCTTTTACAGCCTCATCTCAATGATCCATATTGCATTTACGTAAGCGAGTAGTTGAAAGACATTCACCTTGTGTGATCAGTCTGGAGATAGGTGGACTTGGATGTTGTCCACAGTTTACCCGGTTTTTTCTGATCGTGGGGCTTTGATATGAAATTGGGTCTTGTCTCGGTGGAGGCTGAGTGCCCGAACATCGAGCCAGGCCGGTAAGTCGGTGTCTTCAGGCTTGAATAAATGTTTGATGATGGTGAATTGGTCACCAACCAGTGTACCGGTGGCTTCTCGGTGCGTATTGCATTGATACTCGCTGCGGTGAGACGATCACCGGATGTCTCCTGTTAAATTCATAAGCAATCGGTCGAGCATTCAATATGGAATTGTGACAATTGATTCTGGGGGGAGGATTGAATTTTTCGCCTGCATCGAGACAATTGAATTTGCGATGAAATTACCGGGGAGATCGAGTCAATGCAACTGGAGCATGATTTACTTTTCTCTCTTCTCGTCGATTGAGATGAACCGATAACAATGGAATTAATTATCGTAAGTGGCTCAACGTAATATTCATGATGATGGTTTGGAAAAATGGGAGAATGAGTCAGCTATTGTGGATGGGATAATTGAATACAATAACGAATTTAATTTTCAATTGAATTCTGATAGATAACGAACTGAAATGTATTTTGACGTGACCCATAGTCGGGATGAATTGAAAATTGCGGTGTTTCATTGCAATTGATGAAGAATTTGATCGGAGAGATAGACAAGTTTTTAGTCAATTTGATTTGTAATCTGCTGCTGCCACTTGATCCCGGACTACCGAACATTTGTTAATAATTTTCCTGATTAAATGTTGAAGCTGTACGTTCGATTGGTGATTTTAATTGTGAGGAAATGAACAAAATGTGATTTACACTTATAAAAATTTTTGTCGGAATTTTCCGTGTCAAAGCCCGGAAATTTTTATCATGTTCAATTTCCACTGAAATTTCCGGAAATCTCGTGATTGAAAATATTAGATTGATTATAAGTTTAAATTATCAGAAAATCAATGGAATACTTGAAAATTTAGATCATATTGTTTCCGAATCTTCATGTTTCATTGAAAATTCAAATACTTCCATTGAAAACTCATGAATTTCCTTGAATTCTAAGTAAAACTTGAAATTTCATAACCATTTTCCCCCTAAATTGGATTCAATGTCACTTTTATGAGAATTGCTACCAGATTTTTTATGAAATTTCATCAAATGTCTAACAGTGTAATTTATCATTTCACACGCCGAAAAATGGTCTATTTGAATTAAATAAATCGTTCGTTTAATTCTAATAGAGAAACTATTTGATTCAAATAAACTATTTTTCTGGGTGCAACCTGTGGGAGACAAAAAAAATTGGAAAAATTTGGAAATGTGGGAGATATGCTTGGGATGCGTCGCGCGGCACTGAGCCTTTTCCGTATTCATTTGCTCGATATCTAGATCCGTTGGCTGTTTTGAAATGTTCGATGGATTGACATATTTTTCTCCACCAGTCAAGGCAAAAAAATTTACTCTTTACTAGTGTTCCACAAGTCCACTTACATTCGTGATGACATTGTCCTCCTCCTTGTCACTAGAATAATGCTGATTGCCCGCCGGCGGAATGGGTGGAGGTGGTGGTGGTGGTGGTGGAACATTTGAAAATCCCGTTTTCTCGGGTTTATCCCCTTGATACAACTCGCCAGGTCTCCTCCGCTGATTTCCCTCGTCCTCATCGACCATCTGATTTTTTCCATCGTCCGGGAGTCTCGCCGGTGACGACTGAAAATCATGCAGCGGTGGATGAGGCCTCTTTGGCCTATTTGTATGACTGACTGAATGAATAGGCCTGACTGGTCTGACTGTTGACTCTTCAGTCGATCCACTGGGCCCCGATGTTCCCCCAATATTTAACGTTGTGTCTGATAATCTTGACGGCTCAACAGTCACTGTCACTGACGATACCGTCGATGCCACTGATAAAATAGATAATGGCGATACAGTCGACAACGATTGATCCCCCAATGTCGTACTATTATCACCCGTTGTTGTTGCAAGTGAAGTAACCGTGTCATTCTTATGAACACAACAACTTCCAAACATAAATGTATCAACGCATACGCCCACGTGTGTGCCCTCTGACTTGATGCACTCCCAGACGAACATACATGTACCCTGTATACTTCCACCAATACTTTGGCCAGGTACACGACAGGGTTTCGGACTTATTTTGTAGCCTGTAAATAATACATCGTGTCACATTGAAATTATTGCCCACTGCATTTAACTGAAATACCCCCGGAGGATGATTCATGGAGTCTTTGGAGACTCCATGAGTCAAACTGCGGTCTCATCCTTCAATTATTTTAATTTCCACCGTATTCTCCCCCGTCTGAAGGACTTTTACTGGCATCTCAAGCGCTTTTTGGGTGGTCCCACTTGTGGAACGACAAGGGAGAACATTGAAATTATTATTTTGCTCATTTTAACCCTCATCATTTTCAAAATTTAATGATAATACTGACTGTGACCTCGATTCAACGTGCTCAGAGACCTGGCGACGCTCGACCACCAGATTATCGTGGCCACGTAACCGATCCACCGCATCCTGGTTCCTAAAACGGTGGGATAAATCAATCAGTGAGTGTTATTTTGTGGTTTGAAGAAACAAAAATATTTAATGACAATAAATAACACGGGAATATTCGGAATTTTTAGCTTGGTAAACGGGTAACGCTCGATAGTGAAGTACTCCACGTGCCATAAACAACCTTTGGCGGTGCGCGTAATGTCACGTGTTGGTTGGGATGTATGGTGGGAGTTGTATGGGACTTGTGGACTCGGCCAGTCGGGCTTTTGCGATCAAATCGTATGAGCGAGAGAGGCACGAGAGATTTAAGAGACTGCTGTGAGAAGGCCAAAGTGAGTATGCATTGGTTGAATCTTTAACTGTGCCCTCCGGCTGTCCATCGTAATTTAATGGGCGTGAATAAAACAGCTGAAACAACAGAGTGCAAAACAACACTCCCGACATTAAGGAACTGAAATTAAATGATTTTTTTTTAATGGAACAGCGGGGAAAATATGAAATAACGTGTCGAGGAAGGCGATACCTGTGGTTTTCCAATCCCATAATTTTCACTTGAGAAAATTGAATGATCAAAAAAACACGGGAAGATACACTGTTAGAAAAGAAAATGAAATTTCAGGGACAGTTGACTAGTAGTTTTTAGGGCAGTGCCACTGAATGCAATTTAAAGGAAGAAAATCATGAAATTTCAAATTTCACTGAAAATTCAATGGAATTCCAAAATTTCGAGAAGCATGAACACGAGAATTCTTCAATTCATTTGAATTTTCAATGAAAATATGAATATTCAGTGCCAAATTACCCTGAATTTTCAAATAATTGAAAATTCAAGAATATGCTTATCGAAATTTTCCGGTTTCCTATTAATTTTCAGGGAATAATAAACCTAAAATTTACAGTTCTCATTTATTTTCCCCGAAATTCCGAATTTTCAATGACGAAACTCATTCAAATTTCACTAGAACTTCAATGTGATAAAAATTTCCGAGAAGTCTACTGGAAATTTAGGCTAAAAATTTTTAACGGTGCATGGGGAATTCAGGCCTGACCAAATACCAATCAAAACCACTCGAAGGAGAACACTTAGTCCATTTCCCCCGGAATGGGGGGATCCATCAATAAGAATCACTTCGTAGAGTGTAAAAATACGACGATTGATTCAATTGAGGTATCGATCGATAAATCCTGCCGGTGAGAGTCCCCCTCCCGCATTCGCTCTACTAATTCCACCCAATTGCCTTATCCCATTTCCACAGATGACAATTTGTCAAACGAGATAACCGGCATAATTGCTGGTAGATTCAATTCCCAAGATAATTTCAGTAAATGTCCTGTTGGAGAATACAAACGTCTCAATAAGTTGAGAATAATCGTATCGCAATTATCCCCGTTGTTTTATTTCTCAACTTGTGCTACATATGTGAGTCATTTAATCTCTCGTACAACTGTTTCCCCCCCCCCTCCCCCCCGAGTTCTCAATGATACTGAAATTCCCAGGTGTAACAGAATGGAAAAGAGGTGAGGACGAGGGGGTGGGGTGGGATGAGGGGGGAGGGCTCTTGCACAAGACAAGTGAAATTGAGGAGATAAGAGTTGAGTACACACCAGTGGTAGCTTACAAGATACTCATGAGCTGAATGACCAATGAGAATTTGTATTTTCCATGCATTTCCCCATGGGCCGTATGATCCAATGGGATAATACATCGTGTGGCACCTTGCTCCGGGGCAATATACCGCGAGGCCTTATCCCTTATGTGTCGGCTACTTAGTACGTGCGGCATTACGGACAGCACACACCGCGAGGAGGTTTTACGGGCGCGGTTGGGTTCGCTGGAGAAATATAACGGGAAAAGCGAGAGGGTTATGCGCGCGTGCGGATCTCAGTTGTGCCCGGGCATTTATACACACTGAGAAATGCAGTTGGTTTGTGAAGTTCTACGTGAGTATAGCTATTTTTTTTCCCCCGGGATTTTCAGTTTTTTTTTTCAGCTGGCGTTATAGAGGTGCCGATAAACACACCTCGCAGACCACCGAACTATTTGTGTGTGTTACCCTACTACGGTGTCTCGCAACACTGCACCTGACCAGAAGTCCGCGAAATCCTTGAATTAGGTCAATAATTTGAGGCACCCGAAGGGAGTGAAATCATTGTACTCTGGATTTTTTCCGGTCAGTGGGGGAATTCGCGCGGGGGAGAGGGGGGGGGGGAGATGCATCGGGCCCTTGAATTTCTCGAGAACTATTAAAACTCGTTCACTTCCCTGAAACACATTTCATTACTGACAAATTAACATTCCAGCCTGATGGCCCAAATTGTCATCGGACGTCTTAGGCCATCATCAAACGCCACATATCTTCCACCGTGTCATGTGTGTTCGTTTGTTATACGTAAGATAAAGGAGGAAGAGATGAAAAAAGAAAAAAAAACGTCATGGAAACGCACGCGGATGAAAACTGGGCCGGTCGTGGTCTCTTTCGCGGGGCATGTGCACACACGCATTTTATTTTTGCTTTAAAGTCTATTTATTTTTCCTCTTATTTTCTCCTCTCTCAACATTGAATTCGTATCTCACTTGCACACGCATCAACGCGGGGCGGGGGGAGGAGGGGTGGTGGGTGGAGGGGGCAGGGGGGAATACACAACGTGAACAAGAAGTAGGAGGAGGTTGGGATCTTTCTCATCAGGAGGGGTTCGAGGCCACGGCCACCGCAAACAGCCACCGCAATCCAGTGACTGTCGTAAAAAGTGACACATATTTGCCGCGCCGATACCACCTCGAAACAGTACAAGGGGGGCTAAAGGGGTCGTAGAGGGGTGGGGGATCGAGGGGAATTGATTTTTTTTAATCGGTGAATTTTATTGAATTGACGACATACCCCATATGCGTGTCTCGGAATCCACTTCAGCGCAATCTTTTCATTCCTTCGGGAAAATTCATAACAATTATAATTTTTAGTTGTTGATTTTAATTGCGAAATTTTATGGGTTTTTAAAGGGATTTAAATTACCAATGGGTAATTATTTGCACTGTGGTATTAATTTTCAACACATTGACACAAATTGTTTATAATTTTGATATTGATTTTTGTTAACACTCAGGTGAATATGCACCGCTCGTCACGCCAGTCTGAGAAAATTGTATCTGACATGATGTGTAATTATCGGTTGTTAAATTATTGTGATTGATGATGTCAATTTGTCTGGTTACTTGATTGATTGTCAATGATCGGGGCCTTGAGGATAATGTTTGACTCGTGTCATCGGTTGAGTTGATGGTGTATTGGTGGAGTGAAGTGCGTTCTTTCCGACCGGCATAACGCCACTGAAGGTACTGACCAAAGAACGCACGAGTATTCCCCGGCTGTAGTTGTCTTCTACCACTCTACGCCGGGCCTTGCCTCCGTTCCTTCCTCCAGCAGTGGTGCCTGCGGGGGCCCCCGGTCGCAGACATCGACGAAAGCCACCACACGGCGCCCCGTCACAGTCGAGCTGTTCCACCGTCTTTCGACACTAACTTATTTTCAATTTTTTTCGCTTCTTTTACGTTTTAGTCTTGACTCGCTTATTCTCTTCCTCTTCATTACCATCGTCTTCCTTTCCGATATATCGCGGATTCCAGCGATTCAAGGTCACTGGGGAAAATACGACAAAAGGGTATGGGTTAACGGTGAGGTATCACTTTTATGAGTATTATTTTTGCGTTTTTATTTGGGATCTTTTTGGGGGAAATTGCGGGGAATTACCTGGAATGAAATGATTCCAATTTATGGTGATTGCCAGTCGCGGATTTAAGAAAAAGAGGAAATCATGTGATTCTGAAAAAGGACGAGCTATTTTGGGTCAGTGGATTTACAGATGGAGATGGAAAACTTTTTATGCTGTGGCCATTGATTTTTGGAATTTCCCGGGGACTATTTGGGGCCTGACAAATGGAGTTTTTTCGGAGGTACAGTGAAGGTTTACTATTTCACGTCAACTTCGTGATAAGTCCGATCGATATTGCTGGAGGAAAACTGAGGGACAAAATGCCAGATTTTTAGATTTAACTTCACTTTTCTTCTGTTAAGATTGATAAACTCGATTTGGGGAGGAAATATAATTAATTTTAGCTTTCCATGAAATCCCGATTCTCCAATTTCGTTGAATCTTCAATCAAAACAGGAAGATTGGGCACAATATTCAGTAATGACCTGAACTTTGCTGATTTCTGTGAACTTTCACGGAATAACTGAACTGAGATTTCAGTTTCCAATGATTTTGCCATGAAATTTTGAATTTTGAATCACTCAATTCCTTGAATTTTCAGTGTATTGATTCAGTGTATTGTCACTGATTAAAAATGATCTGATAAAAATTGTCAAGAACAGTATAGATAATCAGAGAGTGAATTTCAAAGATTTTCATTCAAAATCAAGTAAAAATGTGGAGCAAAGTATAAATTGTACCGCATTATGATTTTCCCCTCATTTTTCTCCCATCCATTGCACATTTTTCTCCGCGTTCGATATAAATCTCAGCATTTCCGAAGAACACGAGAACGAAGAAAAAGGAGTAAATCAAAAGAAAAGAGAAGAAACGGATAAGACGCTGAGCGTACGCATTGAGGAGGAAGAGACTCGTTTAATGACCCTGTTTGTGCTTGGCCCCAAAGTTCATCAACTTCAGACGCAATGGAAATGCGCCTTCTCAATATTATTCTCTCCGCCCCCCCCACCCCCCACCCACGAAAAGCCGAAGATTCCATTAGCCCAGTGATTGCAAACTTGTCCCAAAAAGGTGAATAAAAAAAAACGACATGTACCCGGAATTTTTCCATCGCGCTCCATTTACCCAGAGTTACAAGATGCCCGCGTGATATTGCTCTCAATTTATCCTGTCCCGTTGGATATAGGTGTAAAACCGTCAAATGACTTGTAATGGAGAAAAAAAAATTGATAAAATATGTATCACTTGTTCCTAATCCCACGGAATAGCTTTTGCGTACATAATCGGTGAGGAATCCGCGTGCCACCTGGAGCCGTTGCCACACGAGGAAGTCTTCACGGTGTAGATATTTTCGCCGATAAAATATTTACGTAAGAATTATCAAAATAGGTGGCGAGGAGAGGGGGGACGGAGGGGGGAAGTGGTGCCACGAACTAACGTAAAGAATATATTTATATAAATTGATGTGTAGGAGCCTCGGAGGTGGTGCGTTATGATTTCGAAAGCGAAAGCAGATTCATAAGCAGCCCTATCTAATACGATGGTACGCAACAGCTGGTGCTTGTCCTCTCTCGTGTGCGAATACTTCACAACGGTCACTAATTTGGTGAAAGTCACACAAATGGCTCTCAGACTCGTTTTGTCGATTTTACACGGACATTATGGATAATTGTCATTTGTCAAGTAGCGCAGCGAGAGACTCATCTTGTCTTGACTCATCTCTCACGGAATGTATGGAGTTCTTAATGAATAAAAAATAAAGTATTGACTGAGACACGGAGAGAAATGTTCGGTAAAAATTACGGAACTCACAATTCGCTCACCGGTTATGGAATCGACTCAGAAAATTTAAGTGACGGTATTGTAATTTTTCACAGGAAATTCAGATGAAAATTACGGAACGCTCTGGAAAATTCCGTGACAGTTCCGTAAAATTTCCGACGACCACATTTCACTCCGGAATTACGGAAAAGATACGTAATTTTTATTGAATATTTCTCTCCTTTTAGTGTGGCGAATTTTTTGCGGCAGTTGCTGATTGACTCCTTGGACATTGTTCTGTTACACAGTGTAAAAAATTGTATCGAATAAGGAGTGAAAACAAGTCCACACGGGTTTTCGGTGTGCAATGCACCGAGTATATTAATTCCGGAATGGAGGATATCCAAGTGTCTTTACAGTTTGGCGCAGACCACACTACACTGTTAGAGAAAAATGAAATTTCATGGACAGTTGACTACTAATTTTCAGGACAGTGACACTGAATGTGATTTAGGGGCAAAAAAATCACGAAATTCCAGGTTTCACTGAAAATTCAGTAAAATTCCGGAATTTTAAGCGGCATAAAGACGAGAATTCCTTAATTTATTGGAATTTTCAATCTAATAGGAATATTGAGTGACAAATCACACTGAATTTTCATCCGAAATTTCATCACTTTTTCCCCTTAAATCGCATTCAGTGTCACTATCCTGAAATTTCAAGGATATTTTTACCGAAATTTTCTGGTTTTCTATTCATTTTCAGGGAAAAATGGAATTGAAATTTACAGTTCTCTCTGATTTTTCCACGAAATGACGAAATTCCTTTCCACGAAATGACGAAATTCCTTGAAATTTCAGTGGTCATTAAATTCGATAAAAATTTCCAAAAAGTGTACCTGAAATTTCAGACAAAAATTTTCAACAGTGGATTCAACCATTTTCGATTATAAAATTTGTCAATTAAATTGCCTGAGAAAAATTTGAAAAAATCACAAATATTCAGCGTAATTCAATACCGCGGAAAATTGATTGTTTATAACTTATTTATAGAAAATGCACGTAATTCTCAAAAATTGTAATTTTTTAATTATTTCATCAATCTTCCTCTAAAAGTAAACTTTCAATATTTTTTTCAGATTTTTAAAATATTTTCTAACAGTTCAATATCGAGATTCAATTTCAAACCTGCAAAGTTTAAACAATAAAATCATTTCACTGGAGAAAAAATACTAGTACTTGGATATCCGTAAAAATATGAATGAATTGCGTGCAACTTGATGCCGATGAATAAATAAATGAGTTAATTGATGGATAAAGAGGTAATAAAATGAATTAAAACCAGAACAAGTGAGTGGAGAAAGAACGAATGAATAAATAAATAAAACTCAAATGAAAAAGATTCGATAAATGACTTGTGACAAAATAAAAATGGATTTCAGTTGTAACACAAGTCATGTGGTTAGATTTCCTTCAAGGGATATTTGTGGCTCGAGAATCAATGAGTCGCCTACAGTCCTCTCTCACATTCCCACTTTTACCCTAAAATCCACACGGTTCCGTGGATTAACTATGTAAATCGGAGCAATTGATCCACATAATTAACGACGAGAACAAGAACAATGAATTTAATTGCTGGTACTGATGATGTTTGACATCGATTAGTGTTTTTGTAGTCTGAAGCGCAACGGATTTCCGACTTTCTTTCGTACATCAGCTCATTCCACGTACATTGGTGAAAGCCGTCACAATATTCCATTGTAAAATTCAACTCGATTATAAGATTCATTTAGTAAGTTAATTGATTCTATTATTCGCGGGGGATTTAATGAGTCTGTGGGAATTTAATGATTGAACCGAGGGAAGAGGATGTCTAGATTTGTTTCGCATTCATTGTTCTTTATTACGTTGATGGGAAATTTCATCTCACGGGTCAAGTACAAATTGTCGTGATTTCTTGGGACGAATAATTTTAATGACATTTCAGTTGTTATTGTTGCTTGACAATTTTGTCAATGAGACTTCTTGGAAATTATTCTTAAACACCACAGGATGTTTCGGCAAAAATCTCGATTTTTTAAACCCCACCCTTTCTCAATTTTTGCAAAAAAAAACAATTGTGTTTAGTGAAAGTTTAACGAACAAAAAACATTTTATTAATTATTCAAACATACTTTTAAGGAAAAGTCAAATATTTGAGAATTGACCTGCAAACTCAATGAAAATAACAGTGTAGCCGTGATCCGAAATTTCAGCCTAAAGGTCAAGTGGAAATTCCAGAATTTCTAATTACTAATTTAAACGATAAATCCGTTAATTTTTGAAAAGTTGAAATCTAAACCGAAACAGCTTTCAAAAACGTGTCTCAAATCCCCAATTAAATTCAAATAAATTTCACAAGCAATTTTTCACACGAATTCAAAAATCCAATTCCCTATTGAAATTCATGCATACATTGACGATGAAAAAATTCATTTATCATG